AGGTCTGTCTTTGCGGGGAATCGATAACCACGTCATTTGACTCAATGCCAGAACTTATGATACAGCGCGCACGTGCTTACTATTCGACCATCCAACCCCCCAGCAACACTGACAAGGCCAAAACCTAAACTCAAGATAAACAGAGACAGGGAGACAAAGAGATGAGGTTTAACCAACACATGGTTCAATTTTATTTCAATAATTCGCTTGCGCGTAGGGGTCTTTAGCAGTGGGGGGGGGGGAACCGGGGGACCCGGAGAAAAACCATGAGGTTGGACAGGCGACCCTACTCCTTGTCACGTACAACCGGGGATTCGAAACCACGCCAGTTGACTCAATGACAGTCTTTATGATACAGCGCGCACGTGCTAAACATTCGCCCCCTCCCCCGATACATATTTAAAATAGAACTAGACTCACCTATTTATCGAAAATCCAAGCAAAGACACCTACTCCTCGAAAGTGACTATAATTATATTGTATTGTTGAGGCACGTAAGATAATTAGGAATCTTAAAACGCTTTTATATCAGCAAATATATTATTATGTTACACGTTCTGGACCAAACTATTCCATCAATGTTTAGTTGCAGCTGCGCGACTGTTTACTGCGGATCAAACTGGTTCTATCTGTCACTGTGCAATCAGATCATATCAGATTGAAACCCTGTTTTTGCTTACTGGCGAAGATCTCAAAAGCGCTAATTGCTTTCGACCCTTAATCGATTCGTATTCTATTTTGATTATCGCCTTTTAATCCATAACAATAATAACAAATTCTGATAAAATTCACTGACAAGCAAATGCTATATTGTGAGCACATGAAATGAATCGGGTCCTTGCTTTCTGCTCCCACCGAGCAGTTACTACGCATATAGTCGAGAATTGAGCGTTTTGGAATTAAAAGTAACAGAGGATCAGTATGGTTATCTCCCAAAACCTAGGCAGCCATATCTGACACGACATGCACTATTTTTACAAATCCCTAGAAATGGCAACCATCAAAGCGAGATAATTAAAGCCGATTAAAGGATAATCCCGAGTTATTCTAGTAAGTGCAAAGAAAGCTTACGGTAAAGGACATTTAGGCTTTCACAATCATAAAAACATCGGTCAGTTAAACTCATTTACTGTTTGATAAAACAAACGAAGTATTACTAAAGATACACAAATTCTCGACAATATTTTATTGTTAGGTTGAATACTCGCCGATGAAACAAAATAGAACAAGCAGTGATAATCTATTATAAGTGGTCTTAAAGTGACTATCCCGATTTCAAGAGAGTCTCAAAAATAAAAGTCGGAGTACGTATGAAATTTAAACGCCAAAATATTTTATTGTTAGGTTGAATACTCGCCGATGAAACAAAATAGAACAAGCAGTGATAATCTATTATAAGTGGTCTTAAAGGGACTATCCCGATTTCAAGAGAGTCTTAAAAATAAAAGTCGGAGTACGTATGAAATTTAAGTGCCAAAATATAGAGGAATGGTGTATTTACCTTCTCTCAAAATTCCAGCTCAAAATATTTAACCGTTTGGACGTGAACATCAAAAATGCTTATCCAGACACGTAACCCTTTTAAGATTTCGGAACAGTTTTTTCATTGGGTGACCTGATAATTGATTCCCGTTCTATGAGAGGTCTATATAGTGAATGACCCATGTGCTCTACTTTATAACGAAAGGTAGATTTCACCTACACATTATTTTTATAAAATAATACAGCTTGGGACACCGGTCTCCATTTCCATAAGAAGACTGACGGGTTTAAGTTGTTTGAAAACTTATATCACAAATATTGAGTTAGTTGCTCGGCCTTTAGCTAGAGGATTTTAAGGGATTTTAAAGTTTCAATACCACTCTTGTTGTAACTGAATAATATGTCCCAATCTTTATTCTGGTCAACAAATTGTACTATTTTACAATATTCCAAGTAATTGACGATACAAATTTCATCTTAACACACCTTATTTAAAAATTTTGAAAAATCCAACATAATGGTTTGAAACGTCTAACGTAAACCTTTTCAAATGAAACTTCGATTTACAAATATTTTCGAACCCTCTGGACAAGTAAAATAGGATGTAATGGATAATTTACACAACAGGTAGGACACTTAAACATCTAGTACTTAGATAGAGATATTATTTATTTTCTGGAGCTTTCAAGCCAGCAAGAGTGTTATTGTCCCTTTAACACAAAATTAAGTAATTTTATTCCCCGATAAATATCGGGATTAGCCCTTTAACAATCGCCGATCAATTAAATAAAACAAAAGTCAACTATCAGCCTCACATAAAACAATAAAAAAAACAACAGTTACTAATATATCACACAAATTTTCAACAGTCTTTTAACTATTCATCCGAGTCGAAACGTCGCTGTAATGAGTCCGAAAAGTCAAGTAAGTCCGAACAGTTGTCAAACTCAGTCCTTAGACACCCAAATCTCAGACAGTGAAGTACAATCCTCATAGCTGTAATGGAACAGTCCTATAATGTACCCCGCTCAGGTAATCACGGAATGTTATGGAAGCCTTTTCGGGTTGCATTTTGTCTTGGTATGTGTGTTGGCGAATTCTTACTGACACCAATAGATACAAAAATATGACCAAGTCGAAAGTCGAAAATTAGGAAAAAACGAGGGGCACTATTATCACTTTGTATTATTTCTTAATTTCGTATTTTCTAGTCGATTTTGGCTTGTAGGGCGTCTCACATTTTGTCGTAACTTCTACTTTACAACTTTCGCCTTCTGAAGGGGCGAAAAGAAGAAATTATGAATTTTAGATATAGGCTTCCATAGTGTGTTCATTGGAAAATCGTTAAAGTTATGCCTGTGCCCATTGAAAATCCCCACATCTGTTGAATGAATACGTTTAGTTTGTTAGTTTATTGTTTAACTAACCAGTGATTGTTGTCCCACATAACTGTGTGAGTTTTGTTAGGTTTCGGGGGGTTGGATGGCCGAATGGTTAGCGCGTGCACATTGTATTATAAGGTCTGTAATAGAGTCAGCTGGCGTGGTTTCGATTCCTCGGTTGTACCTGACAAAGAGTAGGGTCGCCTGTCCAACCTCGTGGGTTTTCTCCGGGTCCTTAGGTTTTCTCCCACTGCTAAACGCCCCCCCCCCCTCTCTCTCTCTCTCTCTCTCTCTCATGTTTCCAATCGCTAAATGCCACTAAAGAATTGTCTGGTACAGTGATGATCCCACACGTGGTCGAAGGCTTTCTCTGGGCCCATCGACTTCTTCCGAATTAATGAAAATAAAATGAAATGATGACCTTTGTGTGTAGACTGTACATTAAACTCAGCCTCCATTATTATTATTTACAATAATTATCAATTAAAAAATACATTAGCTTCGTCTTGATACAATAAAGGGAAATTAATTTCTAAGAATAGATTGAAAATCCTATGACATCCGTCCTGTGTTGTTTCTATTCCTAGGATACTTGATTGATTCGTGGGATTAATACACAATTCATTTATCCTAAATACGAATCAATGCTTTGATAATACTATACCACGCACTCTAGTCTAAAACACCCATCTCCATCTTCGGCTTTGTTCAATTTTGTTTAAAATACACTTCTATCTTCGTCTGGTCCAACCTGTTTAAAATACAGATCCTATTTCGTTTTGTTTTTTATTGTTCAAAATTTCGTTTTACTTGTCTTTACTACGTAGAGGCCATCGAAAGTATAAAAAAAACGAAACGAAATATAGATCTGTTTTAATCAGATTGCATCTGGTCTTCGGGGTGATGGATTCCATCATAAGTGGAATAATCTGTGTGTTGGGGCCTCTCTTCAGCTAAATCCGGCACTAGCGAGCGGGGTTTAAAGGCCTATTGATTTTAAAAAAAAAGACCCGTTGATCGGATTAACTTTTATTTTATAATGAACAAAGAAAGGATATTTTACATTGTAAAAAAAAATAAGTCTCTTAAAAATGTCTGCCATCAATAATATCTTGTCAAAGACGATTCGCTCTTGGAGAAATAATTATTATATAAAAGTTTACCACAAAAAAACCCAAAAAACAACAAAATGTTTTCATAATATTTTACGAAAATTGGTAAACTTTTAGCATAACAATTTGATGGAACAAGTACCGGATCCAAGGACGACATCACTGAAATGAAATGGGTTTAGCGTTCTGCTTTTCTGCACCGACTGGGAAAACGAAGATGGACTTACGCCTGGCAGTCTTCCATGAAAGAAAATCTGCCCGGACAGCAGCGCTACGGCCTACTCTTATTATTTAATATTCCAAATGTTAAGGGTTCTTTTTCGTGCACGCCAATGTATACACGGGACCTCGATTTTCCGTCCCACCCGAATGACTATATATTGTCCCTTGCCAGGAAGTCCGTCCTGCACCACTGACCAATGACACGGGACTCACTGAACCACCGCGGCTCTCATGAAAACAATGGTTTTGTCTTATAAGGGCCAATTTGTCTTTGATTAGGTTAAATAAAAGATACATCGTCACGATAATGTTTATAGATATGTTATTTCCAATAAAAGTATGGCCAATTTGGTATATATAAAATATTGACACCGAATCTTAATAGAAAAATACTTGTTTACCAGAAAAACACCCACGGGACAAGCACAAGGCGAAAATATCAGTGTATCACTAATTAGCAACCCGACGGCTGTGTGACGGGTTTGTTTTGTTTTTTTTTTGTTTTTTTTTTTACACAAGAATTTACTTAGGCCTCAATATGTATGGTAAATGGAAAGTAAGTAAGTCATGAAAAATACATTCTGAAAAATGGACTCTCCGTCATTCAAGTTAGGTGACGAATATGGCTTCTAGGAACAGATTATTTATAGCGTGGGGTATCTCCCCGTGAATACAAAGTTTTGAGTGGGATTTGAAGAGAATATTTGACAAATTAATTAATTTGAATATGTTTTTTAGCCCAAATATATCACCAACTCACACAGTTTGTACGTGGGGAAAGTATCTTTAAAATGTATTTGGTTTTGCGTTTGATTGGATATCTATTTTTATTTTGAAGTTCTAGTCCTCGGATAAAGCTGGTGTTGGTAGGGCTATATTACTGATTTTGTGTTCAACTGCTGACAGTTTAACCCAAAAACGAAACTAAAATCAGTATACACACCGACTTCCGCTTTGTTTTTCCAGACGGAAATTTAATCGTCCCCAATCAAACTAACACATCACATCAACCAAATTGGACGGATAAATTCAGATACAAATAAAAGATAATTATCGTGTTTAATGAAGATGAAAAATAACGAAATTCTCCAAGACAAACCCAATAAACTCTTCGGTCATTTCCCAATTATTTGCAGGTTCTTTTGCAAACCAATTTATCGCGTAATGCAGATGTCCAAGTCGTCCGTGTGGAACTGGCACTTCGTTCTTACTGGACACTCAAATGTTATCTCTCGATGGCAACACTGCCATAGTGGGATATATTTCTGTTATTTAATATTAACACAAATCATTACATTCTGTTCAAATTAGTAATGAAAACTGCCGTCTAATTTGTAGCCTACTATTAGCGGTTCTCCCAGTTTCATTAACACTTTCATTGTGTGTCACAAGGATACTCACGTCAGTCTGACGTCATTTATAATTACATAGCACTTAATCAACACTTCAAAGATGCATTATGTAAGAGGCATGCAACGCCAAGTTTAGCGTTAGGTCGGGAGGAACTACCCGCGAAATTAATCAAATCAGAAGCTTTGAGACAATATTTCTGTTCCGCACTTGCACACACACACACACACACACACACACACACTGGACACGCGCCTGACCATATCTGTTTCCTATGCTGGGGTACTGATTAATGTGGAGCGAGCCTGGAGAGATATTGGCGGTAGAAAGGATCTGTGCGTGTTTCGTCTTTCTCTCGTTCTTCCAGCCGAACCACGATTACGTTTAATTACATACTGGACTTCCGTTTCTGCTGCTTCTACCATTTTAGTCAATCCTCTATTCCCTGAATAAATAATAATTAACAATAATGAAGAGAGAGGGGGGGGGGGGTAACGCGTAGAGGTCTTTTAGCAGTGGGAGGAAACCGGAGGACAAGGAGAAAACCCACGAAGTTTGACAGGCGAACCATCTCCTTGTCACGTACAGGCGCGGAAACGAAACCACACTACTTGACTCAATGACAGGCCTTTTGATTCGCCTCCCCCCTCCATGATTCCGAAGTAAACAATAGACCTAAATTTATTCTTTCAGGCAATGGATTCGGACAGCACAAAACGAAACTGTTGGCTGTTTAAACTCCTGAAAATGAAATGAAAGGAAATGGAGTTTAATGTCTTACTTCTCTACACTAACCGAGCTAACGCCATAAAATGTGTTTGGATGTGTTTGTCAAAGGTGTAGGACGGAGGGCCTGACAAGGACAGCTATCTAGTCGTTCGAATGGGACGAAAAACCGGGCTCCCATGCTCATAAAAGATCCCTTGGCAGTCGAAATTCGATAAAAGAGTAAGCCGTAGAGCCGCTGTCCAGACAAAATTTCCATCATAGCACACTGTATGGCGTATACCCGTCTTCATTAGCCCAGTCGGAGCAAAACGGTAGGACGTTAAACCCCATTTCTTTTCGTATTTGGATTTTCAACTGCTAGTGGATCTCTAGCAATGGTATACACAGGACCTCGTTTTTTTTGTCCCATCCGACATTCCTTGATTGCCGGAATCGATCTTGGGACATCCATTTTAGTGAGTCAACGCCTTAAGCCCGGGCAACCCTCAAATGAAATGTAGTATTAGGTGTTTTATAAAGTAGAGTTTGTTATTTAAAGATTCGGTAGGTCTCATGCGCGACACACGCTTAGCCCTTCGGACATTAGAAGATATATACCTTAAGCGTAGATTACAACCCGCCGCACGTGCTACAAAGGGCAGTCTACGGGCGGGGGGGGGGGTGTCGGTAATATACCCGTGCGTGAGCCTTACGCTTCACATGAATGTGTTCGGCACCGTATAGAATGTGTTAGCAGAATGGCCGTAGATACTTTTAGACCTACACATACCAATTTTCACCCGGTTTCCCTCGAACTACAAAACCCTACGGCCTGTGCGTGTCAAAACACGAACGCCGAGTTGTGAGCTAGGCCTTAGGCCAATGCACGAAACCAGGTACTGAGCATGATAATTACACCATTCATTCTCTGTAAACCCAGGAACCTGATCCATTGAACATTTGCTACTCAACAAATCTTCACACACTCCAAAAAATTAAATGATTTATCTTACCCAGTCTATTTGACAAGTGTTGTGCTTGGGAGATTTTTCTATTGGCCTCTTTGTGTTTATGGAGATGAGCTGAAATTAACAACACAATTAAAACAAAATTCTCTAAATAATGCAAAAAATTAGAAATGAAATGACAAGTGGTTCAACGTCCTGCTTTTTCTGCACGGACTGATCAAAGGAAGATAGTCTCATGGGAGAGAGAGAGAGAGAGAGAGAGCGAGAGAGAGAGAGAGAGCATCCACTCGACACAAACTAGGTCATTTCGGGACTAACATGTGGTTCAGTTTTACTTCATTAATTTGAATGAGGGTGGGTGGAAACCGGAGAACTGGGAGAAAACCCACGAGGTTAGGCAGGCAACCCTACTCCTTGTCACGTATAGAGAATCGAAATCTCGCCACTTGACTCAATGACAGACTTTAGGACGCAACGGGCACGCGTTAGACCCTGCCGAACTAAAGATGAAATTGCGTTGCGTGTAGTTGTCTTTAGCAATGGGAGGAACCGGAGAATCCGGAGAAAACCCGCGAGGTTGGACAGTCGACCGTACTCCTTGTCACGTACAAGCGGGGTATCGAAACCACGCAAAGCGCACGCGCTAACCATTCCCCCCGCCCCCACCGAGAGCCCAGTTGCCTGACCGATCGACTACCGCAACCTCCTTCTTAAACATGCCTGTATATCTTATATACTAATATTTGTGACTGTCGTTTGTCTGTCTGTCTGTCTGTCTGTCTGTTCGGGGTTGGCGGCTACACTAGGTCTGCCCTGAGTCTGAAATTTGGGGTATAGGGGTAGCTCGCACCGGGGAGTAACATAGGCCAGGTGGCGTTAGTCTACCACTTCCGGTTTCGGAGTTATGAGCCCCGAGCGAAGCCGGTCTGATCGGGGTTGGCGGCTACACTAGGTCTGCCCCGATTCTGAAATTTGGGGTAAAGGGGTAGCTCGGACCGGGGAGTAACATAGGCCAAGTGGCGTTAGTCTACCACTTCCGGTTTCGGAGTTATGACCCCCCGAGCGAAGTCTGCCTGTTCGGGGTTGGCGGCTACATCTGCCCCGAGTCTGAAATTTGGGGTATAGGGGTAGCTCGCACCGGGGAGTAACATAGGCCAGGTGGCGTTAGTCTACCACTTCCGGTTTCGGAGTTATGACCCCCGAGCGAAGCCGGTCTGTTCGGTGTTGGCGGCTACACTAGGTCTGCCCGAGTCTGAAATTTGGGGTATAGGGGTAGCTCGGACCGGGGAGTAACATAGGCCAGGTGGCGTTAGTCTACCACTTCCGGTTTCGGAGTTATGACCCCCGAGCGAAGTCTGTCTGTTCGGGGTTGGCGGCTACATTTGCCCCGAGTCTGAAATTTGGGGTATAGGGGTAGCTCGCACCGGGGAGTAACATAGGCCAGGTGGCGTTAGTCTACCACTTCCGGTTTCGGAGTTATGACCCCCGAGCGAAGCCGGTCTGTTTGGTGTTGGCGGCTACACTAGGTCTGCCCCGAGTCTGAAATTTGGGATATAGGGGTAGCTCGGACCGGGGAGTAACATAGGCCAGATGGCGTTAGTCTACCACTTCCGGTTTCGGAGTTATGACCACCGAGCGAAGTCTGTCTGTTCGGGGTTGGTGGCTACACTAGGTCTGCCCCGAGTCTGAAATTTGGGGTATAGGGGTAGCTCGGACCGGGAAGTAACATAGGCCAGGTGGCGTTAGTCTACCACTTCCGGTTTCGGAGTTATGACCCCCGAGCGAAGCCGGTCTGTTCGGGGTTGGCGGCTACATTAGGTCTGCCCCGAGTCTGAAATTTGGGGTATAGGGGTAGCTCGGACCGGGAAGTAACATAGGCCAGGTGGCGTTAGTCTACCACTTCCGGTTTCGGAGTTATGACCCCCGAGTGAAGCCGGGTATCCTGCTAGTTATGAATAAATATAATGATTACCCATAGAAACTGCCACAAGTATGGTGGATTCTATCTCTCGTTGTCGGTTGTCTGTACATCGAGCAGCATGTAATGATTTCCTTCCACATTCTTTAGCATATTCATACTGATTCAAGGTCAGAAAACCGCTACCCAGGTTTAAAAAAGCCTGGGATGTTTCATCTTTAGAAGTTGCTATTCGAGCTTGTTGAGTGTATCTATAATTAAAGGATATAGAATCACATACGTTATCATATCATTGAAATGAAATGAAATAGGGTTTAACGTCCTACTGTTCTGATCCGGCTGGGCTAATGAAGACGGGCATACGCCATACACTGCGCTATGAGGGAAATTTTGCCCGGACAGTGGCGTTACGGCCTACTCTTATATCGAATTCCAACTGGGACCTCGTTATTTTATCCCATCCGATCGACTACATGTTGTCCCTTGCCCAGAAGCTATATATTGTCAGTAGATATAAAATAAAATGGGGTTTAACGTCCTACAATCCCGGACCAGTGTATACTTCATTTAAATTAATGTTCTGTTAACGATATACAATGTACTTACGCTTCCATGGCCATGTTATGTTGTTCTTGATAGGTATAAATTCTACCAATATTACCTAACGTTACAAACTCTTCATTACTACCACTAAAATTATAAAATAATTTATATTCTGAATTTGTCAGCACAAAACACATTTTTGAGTAAACAGGTACTATGGACGAGGAAGGAGCATGACGCGATCGGAACAATTTTGGAATTGTAACGTCATTTCGATCGGTGCCCAGTTTTCCAATTTTCATGTCCATCGTACTTGTGAGAGAAGGGCGGTGGGCTTGGTGATGTCTAAAAGTTAAGGTCTACTGCAGATTTCGTCATAGGTCGTGAGATGTAAATAGGGTTAGGACACGTAATTGTTGACCACATTGTTGGTTAGGGTTAAGGCTAGAGCTACTAGGGTTAGGCTTAGCGATAGACCTGATTACATCCCGTGAACTATGACCTTACCGGGATCTTTTGTGAGGGGCGTCGCCCCCAGAAGACCAAGAACAAGAGCAAGAACAATAAGATAAATAGGGCTGCGTGCAAAGCTCCTGGTCCAGAAATGAAGTGGGTGCCGTCTTAAAGGTACCATACTCACCTTTCATGGAGCGCATTCTGATAACAAATCATTGCTTGGTCATATTTTTCGAGCTTGAAATTCATATTACCAAGACAATTATACAGCCTGGAGTGGAAATAATGCTTGTTATCAACATCATCGTCTTTAAAATTCTTTAAATCTTTAAAACAGTCTGATACAAGTTGCTCACAGGATTCGAAATATTCTGCTCTGAATTCTGAAACGGGGAAATTAAACATCGAAATTGCTAACAAATCAAATGATCGAAACTGCAATAAGACAAGCCCAGTTATTTTTTTTAGTTCTTCAGGGTTTCAGTAAGTACAGTGATTTAGATCTCGTGAACGATGCTTTATATTTCAAAACTTCAAAAAATTGGAACAAAAAGCTTTGGAGGAGAGCAAACAAGTAGGCTAAGTTTGTTTATAAATTAGTTTTTCCCCCGAAGGAATAGGCAGCAACATGTAATATTTATTCTCAAAGAACTAAAATTCATATCGTTGCGGCCCAACGGTAATCTATAAATCAAACTTTATATGTCTGACACTGTTGAAGTTGCACTACCAAGGCTTGGTATTAGGGCCTCTAGTTAACTGTATATACTTTAGTAACATATATAATCAACGGATGCAGAGCACCACTGCGAAAAGCACAAGGTAATACATGTATGTCCATTTATATAGCACCAAAGCCACAAAACCTGCTCATACCGCAAAAAAATAGAACAACTATATACAAAAGTAATTTTGGCGCTTAGGTTTTTTGTCGATTTCTGTTGTGAATTTTGAAAAAACGAGTCTTTAATTGAGATTTCAAGATTGACAAAGTAGTCACAAGTTCAACTGGACGTGAATTCATTACTTCAGCAGCGGCAACAGCAAACGCTCTTTGTCCAAAGCTTGAAAGTTTCCACTTTGGCACCACTAGCTGATCGAGATTACTTGAACGCAACCGTCTTTTTGGAATAGATTTTTCAATCAATTTGCAAGAGTTGGACAGGTGTTCCTAGCTTCGTATGCAGATGGCACATATTTTCCCCACCAAAAACAATTAAGTATTGCGAACAAAAGGAATTGCCCCCTTAAAGGGACAATAACACTCTTGCTGGCTTGAAAGCTCCAGAAAATAAATAATATCTCTATCTAAGTACTAGATGTTTAAGTGTCCTACCTGTTGTGTAAATTATCCATTACATCATATTTTACTTGTCCAGAGGGTTCGAAAATATTTTTAAATCGAAGTTTCATTTGAAAAGGTTTACGTTAGACGTTTCAAACGATGTGTTAAGATAAAATTTGTATCATCAATTAATTGAAATATTCTAAAATAGTACAATTTGTTGACCAGAATAAAGATTGGGACATATTATTCAGTTACAACAAGAGTGGTATTGAGCCTTTAAAATTTACAGGATTATTTCGACTTACCCTTTTCTATATCATTGAGGGCTTTTTTGAAGTATAGGGTTATTTGTCCTTTGCGTTCTTCGGCTGCCTTGGTTAGTTGATCTTCTCTGCGCTCTCGACTCAACTTTGCCTTTTCTTTCATTTCGACTTTATTCTTTTCACTCAATTTCTCCAAATTGCGCTGGTTATATCTTGTATTTGGTCGATATGATCGAAATTCAAATTGTAAATTCTCGTTTGGGTCGACGATTATTTTGTCTTTATTGGATTTATGCGACGTTTTAGATGTTTTAGTACTGTTTGTTGTGGCAGTCGTTTGGGTTGTGTCACTGTTTAAAGAATATATACTACCCATAAAACCCTCCTTTCTTCTTGGTTTAGGTTTCTTTTTTAATAATAATGGCGGCAATGGGCCTAGGTTGTCCCAGTATTCACCTCGTTCTTGAAGGAATTTTAATCCTGAATCTGCCAGTGCCGCAATTTTAGGATCTTTGAAAATGGTGTTTTCTCTATCTGAAATATACGTTAATACAAGGATAGATCGACCTAAAGATTGGGGGAATCCGTGCGATTCGACAGTGATCGCAATTTACATGTGTCACAGAAATTTAACATTGACTTCCTGGCAGAATGTTTTAAACATCTTTAATTATGCTTGGTCAAATAAATAAGTCAAATGTCCCATGCTATAATATATTTTCAGTTCACCGATCCATTATTGGAAGTGGGTGGGTGGGGGTGTAGAACGGGGCGTAGAGTCCCTAAATGCCCTAAGGTCGGCAAGACAGATATACGTCGAAATAAGAGTAGGCCGTAGGCAAAATTTCCATCATAGCACACTGCATGGCATGTGCCCGACTTCAGTAGCCCGGATGGAGCAGAAAGGTTGGACGTTATCATATACCTTGATAGAGTAAAGGGGATCATGTGGCTAAGTGGGTAAGACACTAGCTCGCTAGCCTGGAGGTCGGGTGTTCGATCCCTGCATTGGCCGAGAAAGTTCATCCAGATTTTCAGGCGTGGTTCTCCCTTGTCATTGATGCAGGACGGAGGGGCTGACAAGGAAAGCTGTCTAGTCGTTCGGATGGGACGAAAAACCGAGGTCCCGTGTACACATTGGCGTGCACGTAAAAGATCCCTTGGCAGTTGGAATTCGATATAAGAGTAGGCCGTAGTGCCGCTGTCCGGGCAAAATTTCCCTCATAGCACACTGTATGGCGTATGCCCGTCTTCATTAGCCCAGGTTAGGAGCAGAACAGTAGGACGTTAAACCCCATTACATTTCATTTCATTTTGATAGAGTAAAAATACGTGATATAGAAAATTACATCCTTACTAATATTGTCTTTTAGTTGCTCGAGATATTCTTTATCTGTGTAAAGTCTCCCTAAAACTCTTTTCATCGTTCCATTACTGAGATCTACTGCTGCTTTACCAGAAACACTGGAATCATCGTCAAACCCAAGCTGTATATCTAACTCGGGAACTACCGCCTTCTTGTTTAAACGAATTAGAGTATTAACTCGTTGAATTTTAGACGAATCTGGTCTCACGGAACGACGTCTGGTGTCAAAATTCATCTTATTTTTGTTACTGTGATTAGTTTCGACAGCAATCCATTATTTTATATCACCCAATTGTTAATAATAGTACACTGCAAAATAAAATGAAAATAAGGTTATACTTTTCTACGGCTATTTAAAGCTTTTCAGTCTGATTAAAACAAAGATCCTATTTCGGTTTTTTTTATGGATAAGATTTCGTTGTATTTGTCTTCAGAAAACCGAAATAAAATTCGATAAATTTCAATTTTCAGTGATTTCTCGTACCATCTGAAGGACTAGACGCCCGTCTTGCACCACTGATAAGAGGGTAACCAGGCAGAAAAATTCCGACTAACACCGGGCTTGAACCCGGCAACTTCTGTGAACTGAACCAGTACCAATTTTCCCGGACTATATATTATTTATAATTAATGTTATAATAAATGCCTGAAGAGCAACTTCGGTTGTGAAAACGTTACCACAAATAATTTAATTTCATTTCGCCAACATAAATTTTTTGGCGTGGTTCCCACTTGTCAGTGGTGCAGGATAAATGGCCTGGCAGGGGACAACGTATAGTCGTTCAGATTGGACGAAAAACCGAGGCCCCGTGTTCACACTGGCTAGCACTCAAAAGATCCCCTGGCAGTTGGAATGCGATATAAAAGTAGGCCGTAGCGCCCCTGTCCGTGCACAATTTCCCTTAGAGCACACTGTATGGTGTATGCCCGTCTTCATTAGCCCGTTCTGAGCAGAACTAGTAGGACGTTAAACTCAATTACACCGAGAATTGTATGCAAAATTTGAGAGAATTGATCCAAGCCATCGTTTGGATGCAAACCATATTGGCGTAGACATTAATGCCAAGGCAGTTCCATTAGGCTGGTCGTGTAAACACAGCAACCAAAGTCAGAGAACTTCTGTTGGTTTTGGTTTCGTTTGGAATTCAAACGATATTGGCACCACTTCTCCCTTTATCAGAGAATTTAAACTTTGGCTGTCTGATATTAATCTACAAGAATGGTCAGTTGTATTACAAAAACTTTAAAACAAATATTTGACAGGAATAATATTTATCCATATATTTAGACATTTGTGTAAAACTAATTTTTGCGCATGTAAGATTAAATCTACTTCTACAAATACGAATTTGTTTCAAGTGCAAAAATGAGCTGATCTCCGCTATCTCATAATGAAGATATTGTACGTATTGTGTTTAAACCAAAGAGGAGCTTATCTCCACTATGTCGTTTGTGCATAGAAATATATATGGTATATATTTCTGTGGTTTGTGTTATAGCCGTCTTGATGAAGATATTGTACATATTGTGTTTGTAAGTAATTAAATGATTTGTGAGCTCAATATAATCCAAGTAATTACTTGCGCATCCGAAGTATAATATACACAACTTATCGAGCGTATACGTCAATGTTTTAATGTCAAGGACAGTATATCTATTGTAAAGTATATTGATAAGGCCTTGTATAGAATAATTGATCAGATATAATTAGTCAAAACACTATTAATATGTTTTCAATTGTTCTGTTTTGTACATCCTAAAAAAATAGTCTTCAAATTTGTCCATCTACCATACCTTCATAGGCGTACGGGGAAATTTTTGACTCGGGGGGGGGGGGGTGATTGGTGCCTGTAGTTAGGTTCTTAGTATGTTACATAATAATAATAAATTCGCTGTTAAATTGGACACATTCAAGAATACAATATTTTTTATACAACTTTTACAAAGTACAATTGTGTGCCCAAATTTTCCCAGTATTTGGTGCCCAAAATGGGGGGCGGGGCGGCCCCCCTCCCCAGCTCGTACGCCTATGGTGACCTTCAATACTGAATAAGCTACATACATATTGGCGTGCACGTAAAAGAATCATCACAACCCACTGTTTGGCGTATGCCCGTCTCCAATAGGGTTTTAAACTCAATTTTATATCCCAATTAAAGGACACGTGGCTCTATTTTTGTCGCTGATGCTCTGTTTGATTCCTTGTTGTTGTGTGTGGTTTGGTCCCAGTGAGGGCACGAGCATAGCGGGGTGGGGGGCTAGAAATGGTTCCACTACTTCCGTCTTGCTTGCTCCAGCCAAAGACGCCGCTACAATATTGCAGCCGAGGGGCCCCTTGCTAATATATGTAACATGCTGCAAGGCAATAAATACCATACACTCTAAATATTTGTTATTGTGTTGCACGTGGATATAGAGCATTTGGACCAGGAACTGGTCGCTAACCGCTACTCATCTTGTTCTTGGCGTGACGCTCTTCAAAAAAACCTAAGGCTTCGTCAGTTCAAGTCCGATCGACATGAAAATTGGCAAGTCTACATCGATTGGATGAATTAGATTTTTGACTTTCATCCAACAACATGGCCAGTTCCTGGTCCCTGTACGATCATACTTGTTATTTCTTCTGAGTGATTGTGCAGGTAGGGCCCCCAGTGCATTGTTTTTCCCGGGGGCCTATAATTCCCCCAGTCCACTAGAGCTGATAATATAACAGAACCGTGAAAATTGTCAATGAACGAAGATAAATTTGTGGATGAAATGTACAATAATTATATGACTTACCACTTTGATGGAGAGAAAAGTTCCGATGTTATAGATTCTGTAACATATCCTGATCAACTAATATTTGGAGACGTGTCAATACCTGTTCCGTAACATATTATTACAAACTGATCTTAATCTTATTATAGCCTTAATCCCGATAATCCAGGTTGCAGAGCGACCTTACATGTTTTGTGTGTATTGACTTTCGTTGTAGTAACAATTTGCAAAAGGTATAAACTAAGTCCGTAAATAAATTTTCTTACTCTAGCCATAATCCTAGTCGTATAGTTGTGAAAGTAGCAAATTCGCAAATGGGTGTAGGCTATATCAGTCAATTTCTTTGATGTTATAACAATTTAATTAATAGTGTTGCCAGACCCTTTTCTCTCTGGTGCTAGCGCCACACGAGGTTCAATTTATTTCTTCTGCTCTTCTTGTGATCAGTTCTTTCGTGGATGGAATCAGCCGTTCATGGCCGCAACCTTGACTCGTATTTAAATCAGTTGAAAATCTAGAGCAGACGATGGCATCGAGAGTTGATTATAGTCTTGGCACGTTATACATGCATTATGCGAGGCCTAAATCTGGCTGTGTTTACTATAGGCCCCAGAGAGCGTCCCAATAAAAAAACTAATACACTAAACATAAATACTGTGGTTACGAATCGACCCTTTCCTTACATTAAAGAGACCCATCCAAGAACTGGGTGTGATATGTGGCTTCGTATTAAACCAATTTCTATATAATACACGTATAATATTTATTTTAATATGTACAGAAAATATATTTAGGGCTATATTTTCCTTTAATCTGGTTACTGGGGATATTACAGATGATTGGATCGGATTACAGTACCTTTAATCACACATACTAATCCAATTCTCTCCCAGTTTCGCCACGAGAAGTATGGTGTTTAATGGGTATATAAGCTGTAACATAAAATGGAATGTGGTTTAACGAACTACTTTTCTGCACAAACTCCGTTTCGAGTTACCCCCCTTTGTCGAAAACCCTGTGAACGCGATAGAGGCTACAGTTTTGAATAGATTGCTTTCAAATTCCATGTGGAGCATTGAGGCGCAACGAGACGATGGGCCCTAAACAAACAATTCCTTACACGTAGGCCGGTTGGGAAAATCCCGAACCTGGTAATAGATATATATATTCAACCAATAGTTATTTATAAAGAAACGGTCGCAACTGCCAGAATTAAGGCCAGAATTGGTCGCAGCAAGTCTTCAATGGACACAGCCGAATCACTCCACGGCATTGTTTTAGATATCCCGGAAGTGTCAAAAGGTATAAATTTGACTTCCGCTGTGCGAATTGCAGCTTAAAAGACATCGAAACTAATGAAACTATTTTTGTGTAATTGAGATCAACATAACCGGGTAATTACTGGTATATTATTTACCATGTGGAATTTATTCCAGAGTCTTTGTATGAACCGCTGATTCAAATTCCAAACGTACTCATTCAAACAAAATTTATTCTATTTCTGTAACTGTTAGAAAATAGATCTACTATCTAGCAGTAGCAATGCAAAAGCTTTTCTAAATTTTTGAATCTGACCAAAATTTAATATTTACTAGTTTTCTAACCGCTCTGCCAAAAAAATTTCAAAATGGATTAAGAAATAAGAATGTTATTGTACTTTTATGACCCAAAATTGATCGATGTCAAAAAAAGTGACCGACGAAGACAATTTCTCAGCAACCATTATAGGCATCAAATTTTCAGGAAACATCCATCCAGCCATTAACTATTAAAGTCTATTTATCGGAATTTTTAAATTTGGGCTATATGATTTATTTCTTTTGATATAGGGGTCTTTCTATGGGAAAATACATTTACTTTCAGTGACGAGTCCTGTTTTTGCCTTTTCCTGATAATTTTATATAAGAAATAAGTCGTAAATACGCAAATACGCTTCTGAATGTCCAAACCACGATCGGCACAAACTCTGTTTTCGTCTCAACACGAAAAGCACAAAGTCATCGATGTTGGTATTAATACAACTTTCGGAAGTCGTGGAACAAAAACGACACATTTTACGGTCATTTTTTTTTGACATTGATAAAAATAGTATCAGTGGCACCTCTAGCGAGCTTTTGCATTGCTATAGAAAAGGATCCACAAAGTTCCATGCAATTGCGAAAGCCTTCTTTCGCCACCACTGTTTAAAAGGTGTAAAGCTCTAACTCTACGTTAAAATATGTGCTTCTATATTAATAATATCCAATATGCCTATATTAAAGAATATGATTGATAAGGAAAAATAATTGGACAATGAAAATTGATTAGCAGTCCCTCTTGATTGAATATCTATAAAGGCTATAATATCTACCGAAATATATTACACATTTACTAGGCTATTGATGTTACATGTGTGTATGGATGAGGCTTTCATTCCCTTCATGACTTCAACTACAAATATTTTTATGTTATGTAGCATATTGTAATCTGAATGCAAAAGAATAGGTGCACATACTGAATTCCCTTACTAAATTCAGATTTATGTCCGCAATTACTCCTACAAAATACAATGAAAGCGTTTGACCCGTACCGGCTTCAAATTCCCTTAAATTTGATAACTTTTTGCTAATCAAATCTATATTTGATTCTCACTTACATCGTTTTTGTTTAACAAACTGCGATGCCATACTGCTTATCGTATTCCCTGATTAAAGACACACTGATGAACAATTTTAAAACCAGTAACCTACATGTTACACTGGCATGTACTCTATGCTCAAAATGCGCCTTGATAAATGAGGCTACATGTAAATGTCAGAGCGTAAGTGAAACGTCAAACCTTAATTAATGGACTACCGATACTCACTTATTTCGACTACAAATTTGATCAGAACTTACGATGAAAGTTTTAAAAAGTGGATTTGTTTTACTGAACACGTTATAATAACATCAACATTTAGGCTCTTTTTTTAACTGTTTAAAATCACCAATAAAATCGTAAATGAAATTTCCAGTTTTATTAGCGATCAATGTAGGTAACAATGTCAATACGGTACATTAAAATTTGTTTGTTTTTATATATATATATATATATGCGTATCAATACAAGTATAGATTTGGGTCCTGTTTCTTGAAATCTTAACTAAAGATAAAATCCAAATTTTAATAGATACTTCAATTTTGATTGGCTAAGCACTAAAATCAGTCTAATCTAATAGTAATATTATCCAATCAAATTACTAAAATTTGGATTTTATCTTAGTTAAAATTTCTTGAAACAGGCCCCATTATTCTGGCTGAATTGTTACTTTGTACACATTTTTTGCTTTTTGTGGGGGTTGGGTGGCCAAATGGTTAAAGCGCACGCATTGTATCATAAGGTCTGTCATTGAGTCAACTGGCATGGTTTCGATTCCCATGTTGTACATGACAAGGAGTAGGGTCACCTGTCCAACCTCGTGGGTTTTCTCTGGGTTCTCTAGTTTCCTCCCACTGCTAAAGACCCTTACGTGCAAGCGAATTATTGAAATAAAACTGAACCATATGTTAGTCCCAAAATGACCTAGTTTGTGTCGAGTGGAGGTTAACCCCCTTTTCTCTCTCTCTGTGTCTTTTTTGCTTATTAATGCCTAGTATTGTCAGCAGAGCATTCACAAGATTTTCCAAAGTGATCAAGGCCAATAATTTATTATTAAAAATTATTGGCATTAAAATTTAATAGGCTTCATCATATCACTAATTTAAATAACATGCTTTCTTTTTATTAGAGAAATGGACAAGATCTGGTATCTTCCTCCTCCAACAGAAGATGTTCATGGTGATTTTGGTCCGTATTCTGTGAAAGAGCTGAAAGCAGCGCGGAAAGACCTCATAAAGTTTGTTCATGAAAGTAATGGAGCTGTCTTTCAAAGAGTCAAAGCAAAATGTGGAATATTGGCCGATGGAAGACGAAAAATATCGGGATTAGATATGGGTAATGTTCCAGTAGATTTAGAAGGAGCTGTGTCAGCTGATGATTTAAATGGTTCAGGAAGTGATGTAGGGGGAGATGTCAGGACTCATGGGGTTAAACGAAAAGCTGAAATTCCAGGGTCGACGCAGCCTAACAAGAAACAAGCAGTAGATAAGAAGATTATAGCCTATACATGTGATCTGTGCGATTTTACCACAGAAATTTACGATGAAGTCGTCAAACATCTGCAGCAGAAAAATCATTTTTCAGCCAGCATGTGTCATAGCTCAAAAGAAAATAGTGTTTTAATACCTAAAACATTACTCAAGCCTTTAGTCGTGACAAATAGATCCGCTCGCTTTAATAATGTGATTCCAACATGTCCAAAATGTTTCGCTGTCTATGAGAATATCAATATATGTAATCTCCATTATCAAAACACCCATGAGGATAACTCTGATATATATTCCCTGTCAACTGTAAAAGAAACATTATGGCCGAAAATTTCCAGCAAAAACCAGTGCCTTAATTGCGGTAAAAACTTTGCAAAAACCAAAAGTCTTCACGATCATTGGAGAAGTGCAAAACATTTTCCACTACGAGAACCGATGTCAGATGAAATACGAATCATGTTTTGTCCGCATTGTGAACGTTTATTCTACGATTTCTTCAGTTGTAAAGAACATATTCGACACGTTCATGTTGATGAGATAGGATCCCATGCTTATTCTATGAAAGTCCTTTATCTAGAAAAACCAACAACTCAATGTCATCTTCTTCCATCGTCCCCTGCCACGACAAAAAATTTAGTCAACAAGGAGATTAAAATGTTAACAGAGATGAGAAAGGCAGCAAAAAAAACGGCTAATAGCAAGCATACTGTAAAAGCAATTAGGGAGAATATAAAATTGTACAAACATTATAGGAAGAATTGTTAGGTAGATATTTATTTAGAACAGATCGTAGTTTCAAATTCTCAGTCATGAAAATATTAAAGTCTTATTTCATAAGTTCCAGAACAATGATAATACTGAAGAATATGTACAAATTTAATTCTTTGCTGTCAAATGATTTCTGAGGTTTTTGAAATATAAACTTACACATGTAGAGTAACTAAACAATTTTACATACTAATTGGACATACATGTAGTATTTTCATATGTCTCAAATGTTCTCTTTTTTGGGAGTTTAATAATACACACTATTATGTAGGATATTTATTCAAAACCTGAAACAAGTACCATGTATTAGAATTGTCATTTTATTTCTAGTATTTACAGATAGATACAGAAGTTTGTAATTAACAACTCTATGCTTCAGCGATATTTTTTCTGGGCAGATCCATAATTATCTATTAGTTTCCTTCAGTTATGTAAAACCGAGGTCTAACTTTGTACTTGGCAGTTGGAATTTGATGAAGAATAAGTTGTAGCACCACTGCCAGGGCAAAATGTCCCTCATATTATTTCGTGGCAGATCAATATCTTAATTATCTATTACTTTCTTTCTATTATGTAAAATCGAGGTCTAACTTTGTACTTGGCAGTTAGAATTTGATGAAGAATAGGTTGTAGCACCACTGCCAGGACAAATGTCCATGATAGGACACTGCATGGTGTATGGCTGTCTTCATAAGCATGGTTGGTGCAGAAAAACTAGACATTTAACTCTATTACTTTCTTTCTGCTACAGGTTATATTGATAGAAATGCTCACCACTAGTTAAACTTAATTGGTAATGTCCTGATTTCAAAATGGTTAGTGATCTGCTACGTGTGTATGTGGTTACAAAATTGTAAAACTTGCCGATTACATAACAATGTTAATAGTTACAAAATAAATTGTTCAATTTTCATTTGTTACATTATTTAACATGTTGAATAACTCTTTTTATTGTATTAAATGGATGTTTATCAAGAGAACAATTACTTACTAATATTAAATATCATGCTTATTTCTGTTCTTCGGTTTGTTGATATTTTTTAAAGTGCTCAAATCAGGAGAGCAAAAGTTGAGTTATATAATACACATGTCATGTCATTGTTAAAATTTATAATTTGTAAAAATGTTGACAATATAAAAATATGTAAAGCCTTAATTTTGTTTTTTTTTTCTTCATATTTTGGGAGCCACATTGGCTCACTAGCCAAAAAGACCCTTGGTTTGAAGGGGGAAGGGATTGGAAAGGAAAAGTGTCAAGTCATTAAGATGGGACAAAAAATTCCCAGGGACCTGTGAATACGATTGGCAGCACATTTAAGATGCCCGTGCCTGATGGAAAATGAAACAAGATTATTATGCCCATCTTTATTAGCCTGAATTGTGCTTAAACATACATTATGCCTATTGCAGGTCTTTCTTTAGGGAGATAATGTTACCTGAAATGTTTCTAAATTATTAATTAGACATTAATTAACTTATCCAGACCATAATCAACTCTCGATGTCATAGCTAGCCTGCGATATTTACTGGATTTTAATCTAATCTGCTGTTCAATACTCATTGATGATTAAATCAAGACTACAGGCATGTTTTTTATCGTACCGACTTTAGTAATGATGATCAACGTTAGGTCTAAAATTCAATCACTAATATCTGGATTCAGAGTGGAGCAGTTTTACCGAAATTTTCAACATATTCCCTTTACATTATTTATTTTTTAACTATTATAGTGAGAACTGCCAACTCTTTATCTAATCTCTCATAATGCCCCTTTAATGAACATAAGCCTTCACACTTTTGTTGTTTACATTTAACCGAGATGAAAACACATCAAACAAAGTCAAAAACGTTGCCAGCACCACAAAGATCTATTTCCAAATGCAGACTTTTATAATGAAGATTGTTTAAGTCTTGGATGGAGATAACTCGTTTTTGGTTTCATATCAATTAAACACTGTATCGGTGAATGTTTAAATAAAACATGTCCATGTAACCATGAAGGCAATGGAGAAGACAGATTGTCTTTGAGAAATTACTTTTGTTCTCAAACTGATTATTTAACATTTAATTAAGAAAACAAAACCGGGATCCATGGTGACTCAGAGGGTAAGACGCTGGCTTGGTAGCCTGGAGGTCCTGTGTTCGATCCCTGCATTGGCCAACAAAGTTCATCAGGATTTTCTGACGTGGTTTCCCCTTGTCCGTGGTGCAGGATGGAGGGCCTGGGATGAAAAACCGAGGTCCCGTGTACACATTGGCGTGCACGTAAAAGATCCCTTGGCAGTTGGAATTCGATAGAACAAGCAATAGTGCCGCTGCCCGGGCAAAATTTCCCTCATAGCACACTGTATGGCAAATGCCCGTCTTCATTAACGCAGTCGGAGTAGGGTGCTAAACCCCATTTCATTTCTTTCACAATGCTGATCAGTGACTGTAATTCGTACAACTTGTTTCTAAAACAGATGTTTGAGAATAAAATACATAAAGAGTTGACAATCGGTCAAACGGACATCTGAGAATAAAATACACAAATAATTGACGAATGGTAACAAAATTTATTAAAAACAAACTAGAATATAAAATGTTGATGGCACCGAGTAAAGAATATGCATCATTGTGTGAGAATAATATCACAGTGTGGTATGAATTATACACTAGTTATTATCAATAGAAACAATGTAATAATATATTAATTAGCCTTCTCAGATGCAGATGCCTGCTGAGGTAACCACAAAAACGACAGAAACAGAAATGTACTAATTCATGTACATCAAACAAGTCAAGCTAGAGCCATATATAGATTGAGTTTGGCCAACTATTGTCTCCTTTGTTTGGTCAAATCTTAGCACCATATCTTAAAAATAAAGAATTGTTATTCTGTTCATTTTCACTGACACAGTTGCTAGACTCCTTATATATGAGTCATGCAAGCCATCACACAAAATGCAGTAATGCAGCATTAGACACAATGCTATTTGCAAGAATTGTTTGTAAAACTTGAATTTTGGTTTGATAATTATAATTTTATAATTCAACATACAGATTGGATATCAAAATGGTGAGTCAAGCCATCACGTAAAATGCAAATTTAGACACAAAATGCTCCCTGCAAGAATTGTTTGTAAAGATTGATTTTTGGTTTGATTTACTAAGACGAACCAATGCAACAAAATGTGAAGTTGTTGTACTCTGTGAATGTTCAGTAACAATCAAAATAAGACAAGTCAAATATAATCAAAAGTGTCAAGACAACATATACTGAACACATCAATTAGTCATTTAAATTCAATATTTTTGATTTTATTTCTTTTCATTATAATTTTAAATATCAATACTTGTCATGTTGTACATGTATATGGCGACACCAATATACCACCTATTCAAATTTTGTTTCTTATTTCATGGGAATAGACAATTATATAAAACAAAAAATACTTGGTTGTTCTTCTCAAAGGCTTTTAGTTTGAAATTTTTAACACTGTTAAAAGACTCAGGTGGCTATTTATTTATCAAGAGCCTGAAGAACTAAATATAAATTGCTTTGGTCTAAATGGTTTATTTTCAGTATTCAATGATTCAAAGTCCTTTTATTTTAACTTTTTTTCAGGACACAAGATCTGTACAAGCAGATATACTATAGAAATTCTTAGTATCATACTCATAACTAGAGTGACCATATTTTTGGTATTAATTTCTCCATTTCAAAAAACTCAAGTTTATGGACCGGCAGTGAGATTATATTTCAATAATTCGCCTATGGGTAGTGGTCAATGGCAGTGGAAAGAAACTGAATCGCCCAGAAAACCCCATGAGGTTGCGCAGATGAGCCCACTCCTTATCATATACAAGCTTGGGATCAGAACCAAGCCACTTGACTCAATGACAGACCCTTTGATCTGAAACGCACACATTAGACCAATCGCCTACCCCCTGCTTCCCCCAACCCCCAGTCTTGAAACATCATAACAATGTCAATGATAAACATGAAATCGATGAAATAAAAAATGATTTCGTTCTCCTTGAATAAATCATGGAACCACTGGTCAATCTGAATTTGGTTGGAACAGAGAACAAAGTCCAATATCTTTTCCACTACTTTCACTTTCCACAATGGAGGTGTTGTTTTTCCGTCTTGGTTTAAATAATGGTGGCAGGTTTTTATAGTGTACTTCTCGCCTAAATTGTTGACCTAGATTTTTCTGAAAAAATAAATAAGTTAACCTTGTATTGACACTACACATAAAAAATACCACATAGGGTGTTAAGTGGTGAAATGAAATGAAATGAAATGAAATGGAGTTTAACGTCCTACTGTTCTGCTCCTAACCTGGTCTAATGAAGACGGGCATACGCCATACAGTGTGCTATGAGGGAAATTTTGCCCGGACAGCGGCACTACAGCCTACTCTTATATCGAATTCCAACTGCCAAGGGATCTTTTATGTGCACGCCAATGTGTACACGGGACCTTGGTTTTTCGTCCCATCCGAACGACTAGACAGATTTCCTTGTCAGCCCCTCCGTTCTGCATCACTGACAAGGGAGAACCACACCGGAAAATCTGGATGAACTTTCTCGGCCAATGCAGGGATCGAACACCCGACCTCCAGGCTAGCGAGCTAGCGTCTTACCCACTTAGCCACGTGATCCCCCTGAAATGAAATGAAATGGGGTTTAACGTGCTACTGTTCTGCTCCAACTTGGATAATGAAGATGGGCATATGCCATACACTGTGCTATGACGGAAATTTTGCCCGGACAGCAGCGCTAAGGCCTACTCTTATATCCATTTCTACTGTACTGCTCTGACAGGGCTAATGAATACAGGCATACGCTATACACTATGGGGGAAACTTTGCCCGGGCTGACATACTTCGCCCGTCTCTTATATCGAATTCCAACTGCCAACGTGTACACAGGACCGCAGGTTTTGCCAGGCAGTGTCAAGTGTCCTAGGGTAAAATCCAAAACCCAGGTAAAATCCCAAACCCCGGGAAACCCCGCCAAAACTCAAACCCCGTTGAAATCTCACCGGGGTTTCAAGACAGTATATAAAGAAACCCACCAACTGAGAAATCAGTCTGAAGAGTTCAATTAGAACTAAACTAGTCACTGGCCAAATCGTCCATCTTTATCTACTTACATATATATACTCTATTTAAAGCCACTGATCGTAGTTTGAATGTTTTTCAATATCAGTCTAAAAATGGTTCAATTCCGCTCGGTATTTACAATATGATGATTCGAAAATTCGTATTTGGCATTCTTTGTACAGTACAATCTGCATTAAGCAGCCACCCAAGGGAATTTTCACGACTGACCGCTTAACGGGAGTGGCCTCTTACGGGGGGAATTTATCGTGACCACTTACAAGGAGATGTCGCTGAATAGGAATGGCTGCTCATACAGATTCTACTGTAGATGAAATAAACAAACCAGAGGTACCTATAAGGGATGGGTGGATTAATCCATAAAAAATTGGATATTGTCCGAAAAATGCAAACGGCGATCAGTGGCTTTAAGTGAAAATCCAAGCGATTAGACGTGTGCTCCTATTCCTTGACACAAAAATCATGGGATTGAAACCCACCGTCTAACCCACCAGTTTAATGAACTGGGCTTATGAAGGTGGGTATGCACCATACAGTGTGCTTTGTTGGGAAATTCCAACTGTCGAGGGCTCTTTTACGTGCCCACCAAGGTGAACACAGGACCTCGATTTTTTTCGGTCCATCCAAACGACCAGAGGCTTTTCCTTGCCAGGCCCTCCGTCCCGCACAATTAAACAGGGGAAACCACACCTGAAAACCACCAGGAACTTTCACTGTTAACACCAGGATTGCATCCCTCACTCACTGAGACACAGACAGTTGAAATGATTATCATTCATCCAACATGTTGGTTATTATTCTTCTATCAACTTATACTTACACCAATAATCTCAAATACAATATTCTTCAGGGCTTCTTTCTTCTTTTTTTCAGGTAGTTGTTTCTGTGGACATGACTGGAGAATTTTATCATCAAAATTCTGTGTGGGGGGAAAAAAGACATGAAATTCTAATAAAATCAACAGAAAAAGATCAATTATGCCAAATTTTATATTGCTAAACATGAATATATTTTTGGAAAGATCTTGAATTCCTCTATTCAGTGGTATAAAATATTTAAAACATTTTTTTCCATATCGGCCTTTTGGTTTGGAATATTTGGTCTTTAAGTATGTTGATGTACAAATGTATATCTGGTTGAGATTCAAGAAAATCACTGAGATTAGAAATTAACAAATTTCCTACTTACTTCAACTGCTGGTTTTGATACATTAGGAATCTGTATTAAAATCTCTTTAACTTCAATAAACTGGGGACGCTGAAAAATATCACAAAGTTCATTTTCATTTATTGTTAGGCAAGTACATTAAATATTTATGTATTTGAATAAACATTTTATTTCTGTTCAATATTCCAACTTATCTCATAAGTGATGTCTGTCATTTCGACAGTATTAGGCTTGGGCTGTACTTTAACCATGGAGATGATATGAAGCAGAAACCAGCCAATGTTTCACACTACATTTGAAAAAAAAAATCTGTTAAAAACTGTAGCCTCTTAAATTTTGTGTTCACAAGGTTTTAGAAAATTAGGGATAACTCCGGAAAAGAATGTCATGGAGCGCTGAATATTAATAGGGTTTGCCCTCTTATGAACCCAATGGTTCACACCAAATTTTAAAAGATCTGTTAAAAAATAGTAGCCTCTACTAAATTCAAAAGGTTTTTGGCTAAGGGGGCATTACTCTGGAACGAAAGGTCATTGAACATGACATCATATAAAAAGTCAAAGTCTATCAAGATACAAGCATTCCAAGTTGCATGTCGATCATACTTGAATTATCAAAGCTTTAGGCTTTATTCGAAGAGGGTTGCACCCGAGAAATGAAATGAAATGGGGTTTAACGTCCTACTGTTCTGCTACGACTGAACTAATGGAGACAGGCATACGCCATACAGCGTGCTATGAGGGGAATTTTGCCTGGGCAGTGGCACTATGGCATATTCTTATATCGAATTCCACCTGCAAGGTATCTTTAATGTGCACACTAATGTGTACACGGGAGGGACCTCGGTTATCGTCCAATCCGAATGACTAGACAGCAGTCCTAGTCTGGCCCTTCATCCTGCACCACTGACAAGGGGGAACCACGTTGGAATATCCTGATGAACTTTCTTGGCCAATGCAGGGATCAAACACACGCCCATCAGGCCAGCGAGCCAGCATCTTACCCACTTAGCCACCGTGGCTCCCCACACCCAATGAGAACAAGATGACCAGTAGCAGGTCCAAAAATTAAACTTACTAAAGCTTCGTACAGTTGGAGAGCCAGATTAAGAAGATTGGCCTGACTTCCTTCATGTTGACCATGTAATTGTAAACCTGATAATACGGAACTAAATACAAAAACAGCTGCTTCACTTGTCATAACACCATCTAATAACAACTGAAAGAAAACAAAATGAAAACGATTTAATGTCCTATATCGACTGGGTTAATGAAGAGAGAGAGAGAGAGAGAGAGAGAGAGAGAGAGAGAGAGAGAGAGAAATGGGGTTTAACGTCCACTCAACACAAAATAGGTCTTTTTGGGACTAACACATGGTTCAATTTTATTTCAATAATTCGATTGCGCTTAGGGGTCTTTAGCAGTGGGAGGAAACCGTATGATACAGCGTGTACATGCTAACCATTCGGCCATCCAACCCCCCCGGGTTAATGAAGACCGGCATACATCATGCAGTGTGCTAAGAAGGAACCACGGCTTACTCTTATTTCGAATTCCAAATTCAAGCGATTTTATTCGTCCACAGGAAACCACAACGGAAAATCTTGAGGAATATTCTTGGCCGTCAACACTGGGAGCGATTCTGAGACCTCCTGGTTAGCGAGTCAACACTCAAGAAAACAAGCCAACAGTGAGGCTGAGGTCCCCCACCGAAATCTCAAAATAAATAGATGACACATATTAATTAATCGCACATTTATTTTTTTCAAAGGAATCAAGCAATCTAACTACACACTAAGTTTCATCACTCTCTATCAGATAGAATCAAGATTATCTTGTCCCAAAGCATCGACCAATGAAATTGATTAGCTCTGCTTAGCTTTAGCTTGAAATGTTAATCATTGAAATCAGTCAAGACATTCACCACATTCACCTAATGAACATCTACATCAGGTTTAAACATTCTACCTCAATTAAAAGCAGAGTTTTTATGTTCCAAAGTTTTGACCAATCAAATTGCTTATCGCTCCTTAGCCCAGGCAGAAAATTCACACAATCGAACTTAGTCAAGGTAATGATATAATGAATCTATATTCAGAGTTTCATCGCTCTCACTTCATTATAACCAAAGTTATCGTGCACCTTAAGCATCAACATTCTACCTCAATTAGGAGGAGAGTTATTTTGTTCCAAAGTCTCAACCAATCAAATTGCTTATCGCTTTGCTCAGCAGAAAATGTTCATTATCGAACTTAGTCAAGGTATTGATGTAATAAAGCTATACACCAAGTGTCCTCACTCTCACTTAAAAGCATCAACCAATCAAATTGCTTACCTCTGCTTACCCTAGACAGAAAATGCTCATCTTCGAACTCCATCAAGGGATTCAAATAATAAACACCTACACCAAGTTGGAACATTCTAACTCAATTAGAAGGAGAGTTATTGTGTTCCAAAATCTTGGCAAATCAAATTGCTTATCGCTCTGCTTACCCTGAGCAGAAAATGCTCATTATCGAACTTAGTCAAGGTATTGATGTAATGAAACTATACACCAAGTTTCATCACTTTCACTTATTTAGAACTTAAGTTATTGTGTCCCAAAGCATCAACAAATCAAATTGCTTATCTCCGCTTAAACTAAGCGGAAAATGCTCATCTTCGAACTCCATCAAAATATTGAACTAATTAACACCTACACCAAGTCTGAACATTCTAGCTCAATTAGAAAGAGAGTTATTGTGTCCCAAAAAGTGTGACAGACAGACAGACGGATGGACAGACGGACGAAACTATTTTAATAGTCCCCTTCTTTCTTCGAAAGGCGGGGGACAAGAAATTGATACCAGGACTTGAATGCAAAATATCAGAGATTATGTCAATTTGAATTTACCTGTTGGTAAATTTATATGCCATGAAATAAGAACTTCAAAGAATTTAACCGTAAAACACAAATAAAGTTAAATTTATAGGTGTTTTTTGTAAAATAACTAAACATAACATCAAGATCCAGGTCTCAAAATGAGACAATAATGTGTATTCAATTATGTGTTTATAAACCCTTTCATATTAATTATGTTATAAACTGTAACACATACTCATGAAAAACAGCTAATATAATTGGGCAACGTTTCGAAAAAGACGTTGAGAGAGTATTCTTCGAAACATTGCCCAAAGATATAAGATCTGTTTTCCTTAAGTATGTGTTATAGACTATTACTCTATTCAGCTACTAAAAGACTGTAAAGAATATTAATAATGTTATAATGACCAACCTGTTTGACCATTGGCCAACATAAACTAAAACATCTCTGACACACCATTGTATCATTCCAAGATAGTCCATTAAATATACAGAATAACATAGATGGAAATAATGCCTGAATATAGAAAATAATAGATGGAAATAACACCTGAAATACATAGATGGAAATAACACTTGACATATACTTGATAACATGGACTGATTTAAAGATACTTTCCCAGAAAAGTATTTATCGGGTGGTTCTTTCCAATAAAAGTATGTCAAATTTGGTATACATGTATATGGAATAGATACCCAATCTTACTAGAAAAATACTGAATTGCCCGAAAAATGCCCATGGGGCAAGCACTGTGCAAAATATTCAGGGTATCACTAAATGGCAACCCGACTGTTATCTGCCTGCTCATTGTGTGCCAGCTTGTTATTTCTTGATCAAATGGTTAGGCAGTTTTTGGAAAACTGAGGGATGTCAACGTACAAAAGACTCTGTAAATAAACGGCGGAAAAAGAAGTTGACAGAAATAATCAAGAATTTACTTAGGCCTCAATATGTATGGTAAATGTACAGTAAGTAATGATAAATACATTCTGAAAAAATGGACCCTCCCACAATGAAGCTAAGTTGACAGACATTGCGTCTAACAACCGCTTACTTATAGCTATTAGGTATCCCCGGCGAATACAAAGTTTTGAGAGGGAATTGAAGCAAATCTTTGATGGATTTGTTACTTTGAATATGTTTTTAGCTCAAATATATCATCAAATCACAAAGTTTGTAATCGGGAATGTATCTTTAACACTTTAAATATGTAATTAAACATAGACAGAAATAACACTTAAAACATACAGAGGGGAATTAATATACAAAGAGATAACATCTGAAATATGCAAAATAACAAAGATGGAAATAATACCTAACATAGAATGAAATAATATTCAAACAGTACAGAATAACACCAATACCTGAAGTAAGCACAATAACAGACAGACATGTATGATTTTTTTCATTTAAATACAGATCACTGCTGTCTGAATCAATCAGTTTGTGAGCAGTGTGTGAGCTCTGTCACACCATTAACGGTTACATTTCACCTAACTCAATATTTACAGAAATGAAATGAAATGGAGTTTAACGTCCTACTGTTCTGCTCCGAACTGGGGTAATGAAGACAGGTGTATGCCTTACAGTGTGCTATGATGGAAATTTTGCCCGGACAGCGGCACACGGCCTACTCATATATCGAATTCCAACTGTCAAGGGATCTTTTATGTGCAAGCCAATGTGTACACGGGACCTCGGTTTTTCGTCCCATCCGAACGACTAGACAGCTGTCATTGTCAGGCCCTCCGTCCTGCATCACTGACAAGGGGGAACCACGACGGAAAATCTGGATGAACTTTCTTGGCCAATGCAGGGATCGAATACCTGACCTCCAGGCTAGCGAGCCAGCGTCTTACCCACTTAGCCACCGTGACCCCCAATATTTACAGAGAGTGATAGATATCATCTTCTTTGATAATGAAACCTACATCTGTTTTCATACATAAATGTCCGAGTTCACTTAAACTATCTTCTTTATGTGGAGTGGGTTTTGTTATTTCTGTGTCCTCCATTCCTATATCATCTGTCTGGGCATCGGAATGAGATTTCTTTGTTAAACCATATGCTAAAACAGACAAGAGGTTAAGATTAAGTTGGACCAATATTTCTGACTGACTAAAGGCTACAAAAAGGTTAATTCCAAGGGATTAAAGAACACATAAACAACGTTTACATAGAGAAGTAGCTAGATATGGTGTTTAATGTCCATTTAGCACAAACTGGGTTAATTCAGAGTAGATTTTTTTAAGAGATGTGACATATTGGTCAATAAACCAGTTTTAAATAGAGCTTACTGTTATGATTTTTTATTTTATACACATGCTGACAAGACGTTTAATTTTAAAAATATTGTCATTATTATTGAAGGCTATATCATATAGTCATACAGAATTTTATTTTAAAGCAATATCAATTATGATTGTCACATAATCATTGTGCCGTCTGTTTATCATCGATGAAAAAATAGAAACTTTTGCAAGTTATGTGACTAGTAATTACGCGGTGGACAAAAAACTACAAATTGTGTTATGAAGAAATAACACGGTGCCGTATCAGATGATTTTGGCTACTACATTTTCTGATACTGGCAATAGTTGAAAAATGCTAATATTTTAGACCATCGACTGATGAAACACAAATGTTTCATCGAATAAACGAAGACATTAATTTATTCAAGAATATTACTGACGTGAACTTCAAGCCGGTACGTGAATTAAATATGGAAAATTTCAAAACATGTACCTGTTTGTCGCTATTTTTGTGGTAATCACATACATTAGAATAGCCTACAACATTCTCCATAACAAATTACCAAGAATTATTTTGGTTAAAGCTTATAATTAACCTATTTCCTACCGGGAACTCATTTGACCCAATTCTGGCCACCATTTCAAAATGGATTAAGAACTCTGGGGGCATTCGCTAGGAGCTTTCGCAGCCAACATCTGGAAAGAACCAGGAACCGATGAGACAACCTTCTGGGTTTCCACTGGTTTCCTCACAACTATGACGAAGTTAATTATTGTAATTGTTTCGTTACCTCTTGTCCAGATCAGTATTATATTGTTGGCAAACAAGACGAGTAACAAGTTGACAACTGCCATTTTGAATTCTCTCACATGTCATCATGACGTATCCGGGTACTTCACAACAAAAACAGTTAAAGGGAGGTTACTCCACAATGCAATATTGTTATAGTAATAAAAATTGCTGGTATGTTTTTACCAAAATGACCTAGTTTGTTTTGAGTGGACCTCTAACGTGATTAAGTTTTTCTGTATTTACCTAATAATTCAATATATTCTCTGGTTAACTGTCGTGTCAACTGATCTTCTAAAACTTCTTGAGATTCAGGATTATCATCATCATGCTCAATTCTAAATAAAACATAATAGTGTACATATAATTATTCAATTCATTAGCCCAGGTTGCTACAGAACAGTGCAACATTAAACTCAATTTTATTTCCTTTTAATCCATTTGATGATCTTTTAGAGGCATTTAGTAACTGGATAGAGCAATAAACTATAACACATACTTATGGAAGAACAATTACTGATTTATTTGGGCGACGTTTCGAAGAGTATTCTCTCAACGTTTTCAAGCAAGTACTGTAACAAATGTGTAGAGCAATTATATATAGACAAGCAATAACAACAATTCAGAAACCATGCATCCATTTGATAGTACACTTAAATTCGTGAAATTTCTAATTAGCAAACAGCACAACTAGTACTATTGGTTGATGATAGTGCAAAGTCTCATAAAAACATCTTGAGTTAGTGAAATATGCTCCAGACACAATATTTAAGAAAACTTTAATTTATGTGGTGTGAGATAACTAAAGTTAATGACTGGGCTATGTTATGGACAAAACGTACCACAAAAATAGAGAGAGAGAGAAAAATATGGTTTAACGTCCACTCGACACAAACTAGGTCATTTCGGGACTAACATATCGTTCAATTTTATTTCCATAATTTGCTTGCGCGTAGGAGTCTTTAGCAGTGGGAGGAAACCGGAGGGCTCGGAGAAAACCCAGGAGGTTGGACAGGCGACCCTACTCCTTGTTACGTACAACCTGAGAATCGAAACCACGCCAGTTGACTCATTGACAGACTTTATGATAAAGCGCGCACGTGCTAACCATTCAGCCATCCGACCCCCCACAAAAATCGAACAAGACAATTTAACAGCCTGTGTTAAGAGCGGATTTCTGATGCAGAAACAATTTCTTTAAATACACCTATTTAGAAATTCTGGTTCACATAATATATGGTAAATGAATAATTATTGAACTATTACGGTTGACTGTGATAAATCCACAGACGTCCTGAAGAACTGTTTAGAAATTATGAAGATAATATTTACCCTATTTGAAACCTAGAATTAATAATCTGCCATTTTCCTGATAATCTCTGAAAAAAAAAAAGAATTATTATAACAGTAAGTGGTATAGTGACAAATGTCAATATGAATGATAAAGAATAAAAATTTCAACCTGTGATATCAATTCAGAACTTCTTGTAAGTTTGTTTTTATTTTGTGTACAGCCTGTATCACTGCATCAGTACAGTGCATTGGATGCTTATGAATGCACCCAACCTATCCCCTTCCCACCCCTATGATGCATGCACTTGATTTGATAGTACTTTTATTGTTTATTATTCGTAACATCCCTCGGTGATTTATTTTTTGCGCTGATTTGACTTCTTGTGTTCTGTTGGTTTACATGTGGTTCTGTTCTCCTGCGCTTACTATATAGTAACTACAGGCCCTGAAATGTGGACATTTATGACAGACACTCAGACTACATTCATTTGATTTATTGTTTATTATTTGTAACATCCCATTGGAAGTATTTTTTGAGTGGGTTTGTCTACCAATATATTAAGGTGAAGTTTATCTTGAGAATACTCTTCACCCAAATATATTGGTAGCCATTTTACATACGTATGTGTTACAAATTATTACTCTAACCTGTAACATATAACATAATAAAGAACTAACCTGTAACATGTAACATAATACAAGAACTAACCTGTAACATATAACATAATACAAGAACTAACCTGTTACATATAACATAATACAAGAACTAACCTGTAACATATTATTAGGGTGACCCACCATAAATAAATATCTCCATATATCTCGACAATTTCGCCACAATATTTATATATATGCCAAGCCTCAAATCAGTTTCACACAATTATAGTCACTAAATAAACCATCATGTTGTACTTAATAAGCTATGACCATTAATCATCTATAAATAATAGACTGAAAACTGGTTCCATGTGTCGTCCATAACATCCAGACACTTTTGAGTAAAAGATAGGTTACGTGCCCTTGTTTTGAAATTAGTCTCGCTTAACCAGTCTATCGACCATTCTAGGGCTGATTGACAGGTCGGAATAATCAAGACTACTTTTTTACGAAACATAACAGAAAGCTAGAACAAGAAATTGAATTTAGAAATGAGCATGTTAGCTAGCTCAACAATTGTTTTAAGAAGCTTGTAAAAGTAAAATGAAACTACTGCTAGTATCATGTTCCTGTCTAACCCGAGTGTTTCTGAGATATTATTTGTACTAAACCAAAAGATGCCGCTCTTAACGGTACAGTTAATGATAAAGCGATTTAAAAAATGAAACGAACGTAATTTCTAAATCTGCTGTAATAAACAAGAAGCTTAATTTTACTGCTATTCAAAATCGTCAACAATAATTTTTTTACGGCTGTAATAGTTGATAGATTTGTAGAGAATTGCACGTGCCATGGCTATTTATAGTATCATACTGTCAGAAAGTTGGCCTCGACACGGCGAATGTGCACGCTTCAGTGGTAGTCTCGAACTATCAGCGGTTGACTGTATTTCTGTAGGTGCGTGGGTCACCCTAATATTATACATAATACAAGAACTAACCTGTAACATATTATACATAATATACAAGAACTAACCTGTAACATATAAGGACATAATTTGATGAGTAATGGTAGAGCTGCTGATGTGTAACAATCTTTAGGACAGTTTAATATAAACGGTTTCATAAAGACACTTACTCATGTCAAGGATTATAACTTGTACAAACATACCATTAGAAAGAATCCTTTTGAAATTCAGGATTTTTTTTGTTATCTCCTCCAGAGAGAGAGAGAGAGAGAGAGAGAGAGAGAGATGGGGTTAAAGGTCCCTCGACACAAACTAGGTCATTTTGGGATTAACATATGGTTCAATTTTATTTCAATAATTCGATTACACATAGGGGTCTTTAGCAGTGGGAGGAAACCGGAGGACCTGAGAAAACCCAGAGGCTGGATATTCAGTCTACAGAACTGCCAGCATCATGGAAATTTATTTTCTAGATTTAAAAGGAACAACATAATCTTCAGTTAAGTATTTGTGTTGCTGAATTATTTTTATGAAAAGGATATGAATAACTGGACGTAATCTATAATCTGGTATAAATTCCTGATAAGAGAATACACTGTCTTGTAGAAATGTGATGATATTTGATGCTGAATAAAACTCATAACCTAGGCATTGACCAGCATTACCTAATATATGATAACTGAAATGATAAAAACATCCAGTATTAATTATATAACAAGCTTGAGTGACAGGATGCTCCTGTCGGGAATAGAACCAGCGACTACAGGCATTGAATCCATAGAACTCTACAGAGTGAACCAAAGGGAATTCCCCTTGACCAAGTCAGTACAAAATATATTATTTAAATCAAGATCAAGACACCCCTAGATATATGAACAATCACACAGCACACCAAATATTTACATCATAGCTATACAAACAATAATAGCAGGTGGCAGGTCCAAGCCTTCTGGTTAAAAATGGAGCCTGGGCAAGACAATAACATAATTCTGTGGGGTTTAATGTCCTACTTTTTTGACTCCATCCAGACTAAAGAAGACAGACGTACAACATGCAGTATACTATGAGGGAAATTTTGCCAAGTCAGTGACGCTACGGTCTACACTTATTTTGAATTCCAACTGTCAAGGTTTCTTATACATGCACACCAATGCTGCATAGGACCTCAGTTGGGGTTTTTTTTGCCAGGTTCTCTGTCCTGCCCCAATGACAAGGGGAAATCACACCGGAAAATCCTGAGGAACTTCTCGGCCAACACTGAGATTGAACCCAGGACCTTCAGGTTAGCTAGCTAGCACCTTAGTCACTGAGCCACTAAGGCAGACAACTTTTGCAATATAATATTAATAACTAGTGATTGACCCGACGTGGCACGGGTATAGACATGAACCAGAAGTAGCATAACTCTGAAACCAGAAGTGGTAGTCCATCGCCACCAGGCTTATGTTACTCGGGAGCCACGGTGCCTGAGTGGGTAAGACGCTGGCTCGCTAACCTGGAGATCCTGCGTTCGATCCCTGCATTGGCCGAGAAAGTTCATCGGGATTTTCCGGCGGAATTTTCCCTTGTCATTGGTGCAGAATGGAGGGCCTGAAAAACCAAGGACCCGTGTATATATGGCGTTGCATGTAAAAGATCCCTTGACAGTTGGAATTTGATATATAAGAGTAGGCCATAATGTCACTGCCTGGGCAAAATTTCCCTCATAGCACACTGTATGGTGTATACCCGTCTTAATTAACTCAGTTCGGAGCAGAACAGTAGGACGTTAAACCCCATTTCATTTCTTTCATATGTTACTCCCCGGTGCGAGCTACCCCTAAACACCAAATTTCAGATTCGGGATTGCCCTAGTGTACCCACCAACCCTGTAGAGACAGAAAGACAAACAATAACATAATTCCATGTGGTTTTTTTTTTGCTCCATCCAGGCTAATGAAGAAAGGCGTAAAACATGCAGTATACTATGAGGGAAATTTTGACCAGACAGTGACAAATATTAGTATAGATATTTACCTGTTATCATGAATCATACCAAGAAAACTTTTAACTCTAGCTAATGGTTGTTTACATGTTGTAGAATCTGTATTATCTATACATGGTGGAGGTATGCCTTGAATAAATCATTAATATTAATTAGTCATTCAAATATACCAAAAGACGCGTAAGATTTTGTTGTGTGATGTTCAAAAAAAAGCTTGTGGCTCTACCAATTCAAGTACCATCAACATGAAACATGGAAAGGGAGGGATGGAGGTAGGGAGAGAGAGAGAGAGAGATGATGTTTATCATCCATTCGACACAAACTAGGTCATTTTGAGACTAACACATGGTTCAATTTTATTTCAATATTCGCTTGTGCGTAGGAGTCTTTAGCAGTGGGAGGAAACCGGAGGAGCTTGGACAGACGACCCTACTCCTCGTCACGTACAACCGGGGATGAAACTTGGACAATTGCGTATCAATTGACAGACTTTGCTTTTTTATATGACGTCACAATTCCAAGATGGCTGCAATTATTTGCAAATATGTGTATGTGTTTATTATTTTAAAAATTGTCCCGGGAATAACATTTTGGCTCCTTATAATATAGCCAACTCAATATAAATTTCTTCCTGACAGGCTTGTAATGCATTAAGTAATTTATAATTATCTACGACAATCAATATTTGATTCCAAGATTTATTTTAACAGTACTAGAAAGGATATATTATATTTACTATTTAACTGTATACAGTATTCAATCAAATAAGACAGTTCTCAAAAGTCTTGTTGTTCAATCAATGATCATAATATCATCCAATAAAATGACAGTTAACATAGGTCATATCTTCCAATCAAACGACATTTATCATGGGTCATATTAAAACTCATATCATCCAATAAAATGATAGTTAACATAGGTCATATCATTCAATCAAACGACAGTTAACATGGGTCATATCTTCCAATCAAATGACATTTATCTTAAAATGACAGTTATCATAGGTCATATCAACCAATCAAATGCGTTAGGATCACTTTAAGAGGGGGGGGGGGGGAAATCCCAATAACTGTACAATAACTACAAACTAACCAGTGGGTTTTTTTTTAGCTTGAGTATTATATGACACATTCTCTTATTTGATGGAATACTGTAATTTTCCTAATACAATGAAGATTGTAAAAAGAAAAAATAAGTTAAACATATGTACCATTTTTACCTAAGATGGCCAGCTTATCGACTTCCAGTAAATCATACGCCTTTTCAAAATCTGGATGTCGAAGTCTTAAATAATCTGGTAACCATAAACCATTTTGTGTTCTAAATAAATAAAACATGGGAGTCATCTATTGTCAGGCCAGATGAGGACTTCAGGATGGTTGGGGAGGAGTTCAGGTCGGATGAGGATTGGGGAGGAGTTCAGGATCGTTGGGGAGGTGTTCAGGATGGATGGGGAGGAGTTCAGGTCGGATGGTGAGTAGTTCAGGATGAATGGGGAGGAGTTCCGGATTTGTGAAGGAGATCAGGCCGGTTGGAGAGGTGTTCAGGCTGGATGGAGAGGTGTTCAGGATGGATGGGGAGGTGTTCAGGATGGATGGGGAGGTGTTCAGACTGGATGGGGAGGAATTCAGGTCAGATGGAGAGGTGTTCAGGTCCGATGGGGAGGAGTTCAGTTCAGGTGGGGAGATGTTCAGGCCAGATGGGGAGGTGTTCAGGCTGGATGGAGAGCAGTTCAGGCCAGATGGGAAGATGTTCAGACTGGATAGGGAGGAGTTTAGGTCAGATGGGGAGGTGTGATGGGGAGGCATTCCGGTTTTGTGGTAGAGATCAGCTGGATGGGGAGGAGTTCAGTTCAATTGGTCCATTGAAATATTTTATACTATTGATGACGCTGGCTTGCTGATGTCGTCTACAGAGGATGCTAAATATTGCTAAACTTTTAATTCATCATATCTTTGTAAACGCTGAACAGAAGTGAACATTATTTGGACTGATATTCATTTCACAATGCTGTAGATCATGATAAGTAGCTTTGAACTGAAGTCCTCTTTACTTACTTTAACAACGTGATAAGATTATTTAGCAAGGCTAAAATATGAGATGTAGCTGGATTTCTTAATATAGGACTTCCTGTTACATTTGACGTTCCAATCACAAAACCTCCTCTTTGACAAGCCTTAGGAATATAAACAAACAATATTATTATCATCGAACAAAATTTAGAAGATTAATTATAACATCTACAAGTTACCTAGCAAAAACTCTGATTAGAATTTGAAATGCTCTTTCTCCTTCGGCCTTTTTAGCCCTCTTTTCTGGACTCCAAATGGTATATGTTTAAACCATTGGTATACATTTAAACAAATGGTATATGTTTAAACCAATGGTATATGTTTAAACAAAAGGCATATTTTTAAACCAATGGTATATGTTTATATCAATGGAATATATTTAAACAAATGGTATATATATTTCAACTAATTCATTATGAAATAAAGTAACTGCTACTGTTCGAGCAGTAATTGAACGTTGCATGACATGATATCACTAACAGTCATTTATGCATATTCATCTTACCAGTAGATTCTTTTAAAATTGGATATGAAAGACAAAATCAAGATTTTTTGTTTTTGGTGCATCAGAGCATACAACATAAAATAATTGAGGTTGTTAATTGTTATTTATATCACACTAATCTGTATTCTAATACAAAACATGTGACTTTATAATGATAAACATTTTCTTAAAGTGGTTTAAAGATACATAACTTGGAAACAACAAACAGGGAATAAAATGGTATTTCAAGTTTTATGAAGAAGATTCTACTCCCTTGAGTCACATTCCTCTGGTTGTCAAATATTTTTGTAGAATCTTCCAGCAAGACCATGAAATTGGAATATAAGAAACAGTAATATACTTCAAATTTATTTTAATCTATTAAATTTTTATAAATCTTAAATCTAAAGGGTGAGAGTTTTGTTTTACTTTATCACAAGCAGTTTAAATTCAAACAGTTAAAAGTGAAATTACAAGGGAATTTAACGAATCTTTGCCATACAAATAGCTTACAAGACTCACCTGTAAATCATCTGGCCATTTACTTCTTTTTAAAACACCCAACATCGTGTGTATACAATAACTGATCTACAAAATACAAAAAAAAAACCCACCCAACATTGTATGAATACAATAACTAAACTATAAACTACAAAAATATGCAAGAACTCAATGATTCGTATAACATTTTATAACGCCTGACAAAAGTAAAATTTAGCTCTCGTATAATGCGTCTTCAAATAAAATACTACCGTATATATGCCAACTTACATGAGATCTATTAATACCACAAGTATCAGCTGAACTTGGTTCTACAGCAGCTTGATCCAAACCCACATATGACATAAATATATCTGGTGCTAAAAATGCCCTGAAATAATAAATTACATCATACATGACATTTACTCTATTATCTTTGGCATCTGACCATTCATTTCATATCTGACTTAAACTATCAAATCATTTTATTGGTATTTTGCAATAGAACCGGAAATACAAAGGACAGGGAGTGAGAGAGAGAAATGGGTTTTAACGTACACTCAACACAAACTAGGTCATCTCGGGACTAACACATGGTTCAATTTTATTTCCATAATTCGCTTGCGCGTAGGGGTCTTTAGCAGTGGGAGGAAACCGAAGGACCCGGAGAAAACCCACGAGGATGGACAGACGACCCTTCTTCTTGTCACGTACAACCGGGGAATCGAAACCCCGCCAGTTGACTCAATGACAGACTTTATGATACAGCGCGCACGTGCTAACCATTCAGCCATCCAACCCCCCACATAGGACATGACACAATTCTATAGAATGCAGTTATATAATGTCCCTTTAGCAATCTGATTAAAATACTGGGCCCTTATTCACGAAAACTTAAACTAAGATACAATCGAAATTTTAAGAAATACTGCAATTCGATTGGCTGACCAATATGCAAATTGGATATATGCAAATTGATTTTACTGGTCAGCCAATCGAATTGCAGTATTTCTTAAAATTTCGATTGTATCTTAGTTTAAGTTTTCGTGAATAAGGGCCCAGAACTATATTTCGTTTCGTCCAACATCCCTACTTGATAAATAACGTTATAATGAAAATTAGAAATTTGCATGATATGCAATAATTATGCAAATTACCCAACCTTTAAAGATGGGGTGCTGTGTCATTTTTAAAAAAAAAGTATTGAGATGACATGATAGATTGAAAAACATGTTACTTACTGAGTAAATTCTTTTGATGTCCAAAGTTCGTGGACCGGTGAAAGGATTTCTTTAATAAATGCTGATTGCTTCTCAAAATCGTTGAATTGATTGCTGAAAAGTTATTTTAGAAAATAAATATCAATGATGTCTACACTGTCCATTCATTTCAATTCATTTTACTCAAGGCATGTCAGTACAGTTGATGAATTAAAACAGTACCTGAACTCTTAACAACAAAGTGCTGGTGCTGTTATGTTTTTTATAATGTTCAAAATTTTCTCTTAAGTTTTATGATGAAGAACTTTATACTTCTGTACAATAACCAAAAGTTCTGGGTAGCTACTTCCTTCAGTGAGGTAAGGTGCTCCACATAAAAAAATTTACTCACTTACTGACAACACATCCATTTACTGTTACACAAGTATCTTGGTGATTGTAATACTACACTCGCATTTAACGTATAACTTACCTAATTAACATAATAGCTTCAACTAGAATAGTTTTCTCCATCTGTGAAAGTTGTTCTGGATCGTTGCTTATTAATTTAATATGACTGTATAGGCTATCAAACGCTGGCTGAAAGGAAAATCAAATGAAACACATCATCATCATCATCATCATCATCATCATGGAGAGGACTCCTTTGTAAGTTTTAGTAACTTTTGTCCAATCCGTTTACTTTAAAGTAATAAAATATGTTCAAATCATCGTCATTATTAATCTTCTGAATTATCTAGATGAGCAAATCGTCCTTATGAACTTGCTTGGTGCAGAAAAGTAGGATGTTAAACCCCATTTCATTTCATTTCCATCATCTGCCAAATTTGTTGTTTATTGCTTGCAATGTCTGTGTAGTCTGTGTCTTGTCCGCATGTTTGTCTTTTCAATTTTGCTTGAGTGTAGTGCAGCAGTGCGGCACACCTTGTATTTACTATTAAATATCAGAGCAGTGTACTGTTTAAAGGGGCTAAATATCTTCATTAGCCTGGTTGGTGGATAAAAGTAGGACGTTAAAACTTCATTTCAATTCCATATGAATAAGTGTACTTACATATATATAAGCAATATATTAATTAATTATCTTCATTAGCCTGGCCCCAAGTTTACAAAGCATTCTCAGACTTCAGTTAAGAATTTACTCAAAATTGTTCACCTAATTTTTACTAAAATATAGCCCTTTATAAAGCTTTTGTTGTTTTAATGTATCAAATACATCAATAAGAAACTATGTGCAAAGCATTGTGTTTCTGGATCCCAGATATTTCTCATAAACAGTAAATGAAAGTTGAGTCAATTCTTAACTTAGGTCTGAGTATGCTTTGTGAACCCAGGGCCTGGTTGGTGCAGAAAAGTAGGATGTTAAACCTCATTTCAATTCCATATCAATGAGTGCACTTACAAATATAAGAGCAGGATACTGTTTACAGATTTTAACCACTATTGAACACGCATGTTGACGGACATTTTTAACAGCACGACTTCTGGTACCTTTAGTTTGACCGGGTAGATTGAATATCACTGCACCAAAAATCTGAAATGAAATAAATATCACCATTTTTAAGTTTATTTTCAATCAAATAGAATTGTAACTTATTGAAAATATTGTGACTCTTTATCACAAGTTGTGCTAATCAAGTAAACCAAGTAATCAAGTGAATAGTTATCTAGCTTGCAGCGTATTAGAACATAGTATCTTTAAATTATTTTACATTTTTGTAACATTCACAGGGCATCTTTTATTGAAATAAAGGTGAGTCATTTGTTAGTCCCGAAATGAGCTAGTTTATGTCAAGTGGACGCTAAACCCCATTTTTCTCTCTTTCTCTTATGAATGACAGTATAGACATAGGTCCTATTGAGACTAATATACACCTAAGACAACATACCAATGAGATGCTTTTTCAACTAGTTTTCTTTCAACATGTACTTTGAATATTACCAATCTGATTAAAATACAGATCTATATTTCGTTTCAATTTTTTATACTTTCGATGGCCTACACTATATGAAGATCTGACCAGTTGTAAAGGAAGGTTGCGTCAGGTGTCATACAAGCGGCTTTGATTAATCAATCAGCATTGACGTTTCTAGTGGTTTACCCACAGTTCCGTGCAGAGCACGCCAAGAACTCATCGTAACAGACCGTTTCATTGGCTAATTCCTTACATCAACTAGAACGCTCTTTATATAACAACTCTTCCAAATCCCAGTGTAGTAAAGACAAGTAAAACGAAATTTTGAACTATAAAAAATGAAACGAAATAGGATCTGTGTTTTAATCAGACTGGAATATTACTAGTGTATTACCTTGTCTAATACAACTGGAATAGTTTCTGGTGTATACAACAATAGAGGAAATAGAGCTGATATACACGACAAGAGACAGGACAGTATTAACGGATCCTAAAATATACAAAAACATAAGCTGAAATATATGACGTGATTGTATCAATGGACCCTAAAAAATATAAATGAAGTCAACAGTAGTGGCAAAATTCCCTAATAGCACACTGCATGGTGAACTCATAGCTTCATTAACCCAGTAGATGCAGAAAAGAGAAATTAAATCCCAATTCATTTCATTTCATCCCAAAAATATGTGAATATACCTGAGTTTGATAAACTAAGACTCTCTGTAATAATTCTATTCCTTCCGTTGTATCAGGTTTATCGTTTGTAGACGCCATCAATCGTAACATAACACTCTCTAAAAATACACCTAAAGCATCCCACTCCAAAAAAGATGGTGAACTTAGATTACAGATTCCCTTCTCTACTCCAACTGAAAAAAAAACAAAACCCAGAAAGATTTTATTTTCAGTGTCCTGACCTCTTCTTTAGTGATATCACAGTCAATTTTATTTTTTAGTGTAAAGACAATTGATAGCAGTGTTGAGTAACAAACAGGCTAATTAATCACTCAACACTAGGGTTGCAACAATATACCATCAGGCGGTATACCGCGGTATACATGCCATGGTTCGGTTCACCGTACTTTAAATTCCGTACTGTGGTTTGGTAAACATGGTACAGATTTATTTAACCATCCATTTTCTTCCGCTACTCAACTTTTATGTGGAGTTATGTCCCCCTGTAGTTCATGTGACAAGGAGGAAACATGTGCTTCACTGAAATTACATTCGCCTCCACCAAACAACAAAACATGGATATGGGAACATTTGGGATATGTATCATATCATATTGTTTTCTCTGTCTTACCTTCACCAATATCAAGAGGTTTTTGTAGTTGAGTTTTTAACCAATCATAAGCTATACTAAAGGTTAATTTAGGTTGTAATAATGTTGCTAATCTCACTGTATCAGCTACCTCTGCCCTATATCCTGTACAATTAAAAATAATGTTGATCTTTTTATTAAACTATGGCATAAAAAAATAGTTTTTATCTGGCAAATTTTCATAACTTAGAAATGATCTATATAATACCTTGAATAATACAGGTTAAATCTGTCTGGAATATCTTATATTCTTATCCTAAGCAACTGAGAGAGAGAGAGGGAGAGAGAGAGAGAGAGAGAGAGAGAGAGAGAGAGAGAGGTCATTTTGGCACTAAAATACTGTTCAATTTTATTTCAAGAATTCCCTTGTGTGTAGGAGTCTTTAGCAGTGGGACGAAACTGAAGGCCCAGAGAAACACGTCAGTTGACTTAATGACAGACCTTATGATTTTCTGTGCATGCGTTAAACCACTAGACCGTCCAACCCTCACATTTGCAAAGAAATACCAATATCCAGTTGTCAGTCAACTTTCTTTGTAACGAATGCACAATGACGACATCCCACTTTTGGTTTGTTGTTGTTTTCCAGTAAGCCATAGAATTGTACAGTTTACCATTGGCGTTTTATTACCCTTTGGCAAAATTTACAAAACAATTTCAAATAGTTATGTTAATCAGGCCCCAATTAGCCTTGTGTAAGCCCTCTCATATGTCTTCATATTTTTGTGTTCGATTTGCAAATTTTCAGAGACTTACATTAACTTTTAAAGTACAGTATCTACCTGTGTTAAAAACTTACTTGGAAAGAACATATTAAATTCTTCATCACTATCAAAATCTAATTTACTGTAGGCACAACTTGGATAATTATTCTGACTAGGATATCCAACCTGTCAATAAAAAAATAAATAATACATAACATTTCTATAACTAAATTCTTCTGTCAAATATATTCAATTGACAAATGTGAAATAATAATTACGATAATGATACATCGTTACTTGAAGGGGCATTATTGAAGATTTTATAAAGAGCTGGCAATTCTCATTATAATAGTTAAAAACTAGATAATGTAAAGGGAATATGCTGAAAATTTCAGTCAAATTGCTCCACTCTGAACCAAGATATTATCATTTAAATTTTAAGCCTAGCCTCGGTCATCATTACTGAAGTCGATAAGATAAAAAAACATAGTCTCAATTATCTATTTTTGGATTGAATCATCAATGAGCGTTGAGCAGCAAATCTGATTCAAATCCAGTGAAAATCTGACACATAAGATGGCATCGAGAGTTGATTAAGGTCTTTTCGTCTTAATAACTGTCTAATTAATAGCTTATATAACATTTCAGGCCCAAAGAAAGACCAGCAATATGCAGATTTAGCTCTTACACAATGTATGCTTAAACTGAGACTCAGCAGGTAAATTTCAGAAGAGTATATAAATTGCTCACCTTTAACAATGACTGTGTAGCAGCCGTCACAACACGAGGTATAAAGGACACTAGAGTTTCATCTTTTGAGATATGTTCATGACGTAAAAATAATGCCCATAGGGTCTGAGTAAAACTTCCTAACATCTGAAATGGAGTTGAACATCTCATTAACACAATGCTTTGAACCAGGGCTTCCACTTTGCAAAGTAAATTCATATTTCATGTTTTTTATTCATGGTAGGGTATTGTGAATTCACGTGTCTATACCACTTTGTCAGCACTGGGGTACACAAAAAATTATATATTGGACTTACAAATGAAATATTAGTAAGGCTTATGATAATTATTTATTAATTAAATATTCCCTTTTGGCTACTTAAATAATCGAAATAGCTGAATTGGCCGTGGAAAAACCATTCCAGTGGCCGACACGTAATTACCACGTGCTCTATAGAAAACACACTGACCTGGATAATTATGAGTTGTAATATACTATTCAAAAAAAGTAGGGGATATTTGATTTTTAAGTGTTATTAAAGTCACCTAATGAAACTGACGAAGAAACAAATGACAAAATGAAATAAAGTTCACATTCATCGATTTATTCCAAATGATCGTTAGACTAAGTAAGGCACAGACTGACCATTATAAGGGTAAAATGATACCCGGGGTCAAACAGCAAAGTTACCACAGCATCACAACCAAGTCAGTAACGGGTAAATCCTCCTCTGTTTGCCAAACAAGCATTGATCCGACGTGGCATACTCCTAATGAGACGTCTAAGGTCATTTTGGTCCAGACTGTCCCATTCCTGTTGCAACGCAGCAGCAAGTTCTTGGACATTGGCAGGACGTTGTTGACGTTGACGTAACCTCTGTCCAAGCATGTCCCAGATGTCTGTCCAAAAAATCAACAGTGAACCTTGACTCATCTGAAAACATCACATTGCTCCAGCGTCGATTATCCCAGTGTTGACGATCCCTACACCAACGACGTCTTGCCTGAATGTGATGATCTCTCAAACAAGGGATCACGCGAGGACGTCGGGCGCGAAGGTGACCCCTATGCAGTCGATTCCGAATCGTCTGGCCACTCACTCTCACACCAGTGTCTGTTTGAAGACGAGCGCTGATCTGATTTGCTGTGATGACACGATTTCTAAAAGGCCAAGGTACGGATAAATCAATCCTGGGCTTGAGTTGTCGCCCTTGGTCGACCTGAGCGTGGTCTGTCCTGTACAGATTGTGTATCACGGTATCTGGACCATAGCCTGCTTATGACAGACTGAGAAACATTCATCGTCCGCGCCACAACCGCCTGTGTTGTGCCGATCTGTAGCATGCCAAGGGCACGTAACCTTTCATTTTGGGTAAGCCGACGCATATCAAAATTTGTTTTCTGGTTACTAAAACAATTAAACTGATGTTTCCACCCTGGAATTCAATGCCACAATGACTGTAACATTCAAAGTCAGAGTCGTGCAAATCTTGGGTTGGACCCCCATGATGATCCCAAGCATCACCTGCATTCCATGCGGTAGCTATTGGTGCGTTTGGGCGTCACATGTAACTGGAAATGTTTCTTCTGTTAGGTTTTATAGTGACTTTTTTCGTAGTCATTTGCATATTTTAGTATTATGCCCCCAAAATCAAATATCCCCTACTTTTTTTGAATAGTATACAATAACTTGATATGAAGATAAATATATAATTATCAACTGCATATATCTCACATTTATTGGTTTTAGATCATCTCTTATGGCATTATGGACCGTAGAATTGTGACGTAAATCTTAATAATGTATAACTAAATAACTAACGGATAACTAACTTCACGGCTACGAAATTTTAATTAAGATAAAATCCAAATTTTAGTAATTTGATTGGATAATATTAGCTTGATTTTAGTGCTTAGCCAATCAAAATTGAAGTATCTACTAAAATTTGGATTTTATCTTTAGTTAAGATTTCAAGAAACATGGTCCTGATAAAGATCTCTATCATTGCAACACTCACCTGACTTTTATGTACAGTAAAAGCTAATAAAGCTTCTAAATATGTGGAGAAATTAGGAGGAACCCCTACTTCAGGATCTGTTCCCTAAAATATATTAATATACCAGAATAATCATTTGAACTTACACATGTACATCTCAACAAATATATCACAGAAATATACCTTATGTGTATTGGTCAGCATCTTTTCCTTTCAGCAGAAAGAGAGCCTGGCAAGAGTTTGGTCCTTCAGATGGTACGGAAAAAAAACAAGGTCCCGTTCAGAAAGATCCCATAATATATAAAAATTCAAATACAATTAGGCAGTTTTGCCCAGTTTTGCCACTTGTTACGCATTATACTACACGCGCAATAGTATAGAAAGTGACGTCCTACTACTACCTCCCCTGTAGATTGTACTTGCTCATTTCATCATTATTGTGTTTGAAGCCCTGAAATAAACACCGGGTCCCGAGTTCACAAAGCATTCTCAGAAATAAGTTAAGAATTTACTCAACTTTAATCATGTTTATGAGAAGTATCTTTGATCTAGAAACACAAAAATGTGCACATAGTTTCTTATTGATGTATTTGATACATGAAAGCAACAAAAATTTTATAAGGGGCTATATTTTAGTTAAAATAAGACGAACAATTTCGAGTAATTTCTTAACTTCAGTCTGAGAATGCTTTGTGAACTGATCTGATCAACTACAGTCTTCATAGACATCATTATAACTCCCTCATTAAACACTGAAATGCCTGTCTGCATTAGCCTAAGTGCAGAAAAGTAAGATGTCAAACCCAATTTCATTTCTTTCCTTTCATTAAACTTAAAATTTTTCAAATAAAGTTTTGATTAAAAGTATTTATAATAAATTCTATTTACCCATAATGCAACTAGTTGTTTACCAATTTCTGTGAGAACTTGACATAATCGTTTTAAGAAGAGATAATAATACTCATCTAGAGACGCTTTCTCTGCAGCTCTATAAAATAAAACATTCAATCTAGTCTTCACACAGTTGTGTGGTTAACATATAGCTACTGCATCATAAGGTCTGTTATTGAGTCATATGGCATGATTTCCCTGCTTGTATATAACAAGGAGTATAGTCGTCTGTGCAACCTTGTGGGTTTTCCCTGGGTCCTCCGGTTTTCTTCCACTGCTAAAGACCCCTACATGCAAGCAAATTATTGATATACACTTGAACCAAATGTTATTCCCAAAGTGACCTAGTCTGAGTTGAGTGGACATTAAACCCCATTTCCCTATCTTTCTCTTTATGATTTGAGGACCACTCAGCAACCCAATCCAATCCATAAAGCAGCAATATAACGAAAATTGTAATTAATAATTCCCTTCAACTTGTCCAGACATCTGGAAAATTAGTAACATAGCAGACAGTTTAAATATTTTATGTTATACCCACATTGCTGCAGTAAGAATGGTAGACATGGCACCTTCACTAAACAGGATTAAAATTGGTTTTCTATCTTCTAACTTTCCCTGTAAATACGTCAATCCAATTATGATCAGAATTTAAACTTATAATTTTAGTAAATGATTAAGAATTATAAAGTATGTACAAAAAATATTTCATTTGATAAGATAAAAAATATCAAAATTAATCTTTTTAATAAGCTGACCTTGATCAGCAGCTTCAATTTAATGTTCATTCCAAATCAAACTTTAACCAAGTAATAGGGTGCCCCACCATAAAAAAATATCTTGACAATTACACAACAATATTTATATATATACCAGCCTTAAATCAGTTTCGCCTATTTATTGTCACTAAATAAACGGTCATGTTGTACTTAATAAGCTATGACCATTTAACCATCTATAAATAATACACTGAAAGATGGTTACGAGTGTCAACGATAACATCCAGGCACTTTTGAGTAAAAAAAAGGTTACATGCTCTTGTTTTGAAATTAGTCTTGCGAAACCAGTCTACCGACCATTCTCCGTCTGATTGACAGGCCGGGATAATCAAGACTACTTTTCCACAAAACAAATTTAGAAACACGCACATTAGGCAACTCAACAATTGTTTTAAGAACCTTGTAAAAGTAAAATGAAACTACTGCTAGTATCATGTTCTTGCCTAACCCGAGTGTTTCAGAGATATCATTTGTTTTAAAACAAAAGACGCCGCTCCTAACGGTAGTTAATGATGAAGCAATTTAAAAAATAAAACAAACGTAATTTCTAAAGCTGCTGTAATAACCAAGAAGCTAAATTTTACTGCTATTAAGAATCGTCAACAATAGAATTTTTACGGCTGTAATAGTTGATAGATGTATAGAGAATTTCATGTGCGATGGCTATTTATAGACTCTTATGCTGAGTGTTATTGCACTGCATAAGTAGCCAGAAATCACTTCGAGACAAGCCACTAAAGCGTGCACATTCGCTGTGTCGAGTTCAACTTTCTGTAGGGAAAATTTTCGCTACACGGGTCACTCAACAAGTAAAGATGATATCTAGTGTAGTAAATCTATCATAATACCTTTCTACTAACTACAAGTAACAAACATTCTGCAGCATGAAGTTGTAAAGAACTATCATCCAGTAATAAACACAATAACTGTAATAGTCTACCATTATTCTCCACAACATGAGACATGTTAACCCAGTCTACAAAACCAGTCAATGTCATGAGTACTGATTGGCTGACACGATTTAAAGCTAAGCTGTCTCTTTCCTTTCCTTCTGCTACCTGCAAAGAAAAAAAATGTCTGGGATTTAATATGTTCATTTTAAAGGGCCAATCTCGATTATATTTTGGAGAATAAAACTGCTTAATCCTCTACCTTAGGGCCGAGCAACTAACTTAATATACGTGATACGTTTTCAAACAACTTAAACCCGTCAGTCTTCATCTGGAAATGGAGACCGGTGTCCCAAGCTGTATTATACAGTGTCTGGATAAAACCAGACTTTCGTTATTAAGTACAGCACATGGGTCATTCATTGCTTAGACCTCTAAATTTAAAGAAACAGCAAAAGATTATCAGGTCACCCAACGAAAAAACTGACCCAAAATTTTATAAGGGTTATGTGTCCGGATAAGAGGTTTTGAAATTCACGTCCAAACGACTAAATATTTTGAGCTGAAATTTTGAGACAAGGTAAATACACAATTCCTCTATATATAATAATCCTTGTAACATTACGTACAATTAAACAGAACCCAATTTTTATGTGAAATCCATCACTGCCTTTAAAATAAAACCAGTGATCGATTTCCCATAAAAACTGGGTTCTGTTTAATGTGTTTAGGGCTGGGTATCGATAGTGATTTTTACTATCGATAATCGGCAATGAAATGTCGGTCGATAATCGATAGTATCGAAAAACAAACTTATTTTCACGGTCGTCAACAAGACTGGATAAAATCCAAAGTGTTTCCACACAGTACTTTTAGCTTTGCCGGGAAAATCAACAAGCGTTTTGTCATCCATGTGTGCTATTTATTGTACCGGGTACTCTATTACTGAGGCACACGTACAGAAATAGTGAACTGTACAGACGAATTCTGAAGCTTGCAATGGAAAATAACTCTAACTTTATTTACACATCCGGGTATCTCCGATTTAGCGATATTCAACAATAATTTCTTCAAAACTAAAGTAACATTTCAATGAGAGTGAATTTATGAAAACGGCTGTTCAATAAGCAGTCACAATTTTGTTATGTGTTACATTGATACTTGATAGTAATTAAAGTGAGCGGTGTATTATGATTAACTGAAAGAAAACATTGACATTTCAGACGCAAGAAAAATAGACGAAGAGCAATAATCGATAGTAACCCACCGCTATCGATAGTGCTTTTCTGGGCCGTCCAATCGATAATATCGATTTATATCGATATTTTACCCAGCCCTAAATGTGTTCCTCATGTTTTAAATATCATTTAAAGATTATTATGTACAATGCATGCAAGAGATCCTTTTGCCTCAACAGTAGTACATGGTTTTCCATGCTTTATTTTAAATTTGTAAACACAGAGAGAGAAAAACAAGGTATAACATCCTCCTAATATAAGCTAGGTCATTTTGAGACTTCTATATGGTACACCATTATTTTTATAATTCACTTGTGTTTAGGGGGCTTTAGCATTGTGAGGATATCAGAGGACCCAGTGAAAACCCATGAGGTTAGATAGACATCTCTACTTCTTGTCACAAACAAATGTAGGATCGAAACTTGAGTCAATGACAAACCTTCTAATAAAGTCAGACTTACTAGTAGTTTATACTGGGCAGCATGTGTTTCTAATAAAGTTAGAAAGAAGTGAAATAATTGACTAATTTGAGCTGTTAATGATTGCAATATTTCTCGTCTTCGTTGATTGGGGACATTTTGGAATGCAACAACATCTTCAACCAATCTATGGAACACCATTAATACCAATTCTGTTTGAGTTTCCTACAAAATAAATATAAACGAGTGGAACTTTATTAATTGAACCATTAGAATATCTAATTTTCACTATTTTCTTTTTAATGAGGCAGTTTATAAATTTGAAGAAGAACATGGATCAAATATATAGTGATATAAAAACACAAATTTATATGGAAAACAATCACTGATTTTATTTCACACTACGTTTCAACAAATGGAATGGGGTTTAACGTCCTACTGTTCTGCTCCTAAACTGAGCTAATGAAGACGGGCATACGCCATGCAATGTGCTATGAGGGAAATTTTGCCCGGGCAGCGGCGCTATGGCCTACTCTTATATCGACTTCCTACTGCCAAGGGATCTTTTACGTGCACTCCAATGTGTACATGGGACCTCGGTTTTTCCGTCCCATCCGAATGACTAGACAGCTGTCCTTGTCAGGCCCTCCGTCCTGCATCACTGACAAGGGGAAACCACGCCGGAAAATACGTTTCAACAAGTTCCTCTTGTTGTTCTTGTTGAAACATAGTATGAAATAAAATCAGTGATTGTTTTCCATATAAATTTGTGTTTTTATAATATATGTTCAATTACTAAATGCCATATAAGGATTTCATACATAGTGATATAAAGTACAGTCACCTTAGCTTCTACCTGCAATGATTTGTACAAGATAATTGAATCATCAGCTGACAAACGAATCAAAAACTTGGATGTATATATGGGACCAAAAGGTCAAAGAACAATTCATTTGGCTGTATAGTCTACACAGCTATGTGTCCTCTCTAAATTATTTTATTTATTAAATAAATAAATGCTGGAGTCCCAACCCCTGAAAAATTAAATATTCAGGAGGTTCCACTCAAATGATTCCAGGATTCAAACCCAGGACATTCTGTCCATTATCAAACTTACCCCATGTTGAGATATGTTATGTAAATCAGTCATTAATGATTGCCAATTCTGTGGCCATTCCCTCTTCATTAATTCTACAACAATTCTTGATATAGCATCTTTCACATGGAGTTCTTCTTCTAAAAGATACTTTGTACCCTAAAAACACAATATTACAAACATTACAAAATATTTAACATTCATTATAAATTTAATATCATTAAATAGGGGAATATGTAAAGTAGTTTAATAACTGATAGACCAAAACATACAGTCACAATCAAAACATGGTACCCATAGGATAAGATAGTGCACTGACGCCAAGACTTACATTATACGATCGACTTGGCGTGAGTGTCTATGTACTGGCATATACTATCATACAACAATTCTGTTTTGATGCTAAAGAGAATCTTTTATCTGCTATTCAAGCACCCACTGTCTACCTTCCATGGTAATGTTACAAATAGCAGTTTCAAACCACTGATCGTCATTTTAAGGATTTTGAATCCATCGCTAACACGTTTAACAACAATATTGGATATCACTCAGTCCAAAAATGATTCAATTCCATTCAGTATTTACTATAGATGTATAAGTGTTGGGTAAAATCGATTAATGGGCCTTTTTTTAATCGGATTGAATCCAAGTCGTGAGATTATCTAACAACATGGATATTTTGATATTCTTACTTAAATGTTAAATGATGAATCTGTGAACATTTTAGCATGGACTAAGATATGGAAAAACAAGATATTGTCAGATATATGCAGGACGATGATCAGCAACATCAATATTATTCTATTTGTTATATTTTGCTCTTTTGCTCCTATGTGGAGCGAGATTTGATATTTCATCTTTCCTGCTTGACCAGATGGGTTCTACAACATCTTTGTAGGTTTGACTTACCCATAGAGTTATGACCCTAACAGTTGCCCTCCTAAATTAGTTTATTTGTAAATAGTACTTACGGTGTCTAACAACTGTAAAGAATTTTGTTTCAAATATTGTTTTTCATCAAAGGATAAGTTAATCCATCGAAATCTGGAAACATTCAAAAAAAAAAATACAAATATAAATAACAAAAAATATTATTTCTACACTTGAACTTCAATATTTATCTATTGACAATTTTACTTCAATAATTCGCACGCATATAGGGCTCTGTAGAAGGGGGAAGAAACCGGAGAAAATCTATGAGGTTGGTAATCCTCCTTGTCACGTACAAGCTTAAAATGTATTAGTAATTTAAATTTTAACATGAATCAAACTTGCTATGTCCATTTCACTATTATAAATGTGAACAGAAATGAGATAGTTTCAATGTCCTACAACCAGTAATAATGAAGATAGGAATACATCATGCAGTGTGCTTTGAGGACAAATTAGGCCCAAACAATTGCAATCAAGTCTACGATTATTCCAATTTAAAACTATCAGGGGATCTTTAACAAGCTGTTAAAGGAATACACATGACTTCATCAACTTTTCGTTCCATCCATCCAACTAGACACTTTTTCTTGCCAATTACTCCACTGCTCCACTGACACAAGGGTAACCGGCCAGGTAAATCATAACGAACTTTCTCAGTCTACATCAGGATTGAATAAAAAGAAAGAAGTACCTACTTTATACAGTGTTCTAAGAGTTGTAAACCAAAATGACGAATAACAGGTGAATACTCTTTAGATGAAATACTGATACCAACTTGAACACAATATGGTGAATTGTCTTTAAAGTCTTCACAGATCTAAAATAAACAGACATATGGTTTAATGTCCACTCAACACAACAGGGCCATTTAGACTCAATTTGATAGCATAGTCCTCATACATGTAGATGTAGTTTGGCCTTTATTATTGTTTTCAAATTTGTTATCCGACTGTGGTAATTTCAATCCTCAAAGTCTACATGTATGTAGTTAGTCTAATTATCAGGCACTGTTTTGAATGTTAAGAAAAAAAATATACATCAGTGCAATGCTTCATTGATTTCCAGCTTGGTTCAAATTTTCCATATATTTCAACGTATGACTCAGTACTACAGTACCAGTGCCGGTCAAAGAATACCAATACTCCCTGAGCAAAAACGTGCAGAAATGCTTGATTAAAATAGTTATCATAACAGTTTATTTAGGGTGGTTGGGGAGGGGGTGTATATATTATGCTCAAATAGAAAAGTTCTGACTTGAAATTAAGATTTAATTCAACAGGCCATGTGATTTAGAGAAGTTATACACGTATCTGTGTTGATAAATACTTTGTGGTTGTTTTGATGTAACTTTAATGATTCAGGGATTTTTGATAGTTATTTATTACAAATGTCTAAATCGGTGAGACAAAAATAAACTAGATCTTTAAGTCTTTTTATTTGGGAATAATTTACGAAGACGAACAAAATTTAGGTGATATTCTTAAATTTGCTTGTTGTCTACTTCAATTGGCATGACCCAAGCTACGGCAGAAGGGAACCTGTTTTTACCAGCATGTTGTGCCGCACATACATGTACAGTTTACTGGCTCTAGCGATTTAAGCAAGGATTTATTTTGTTACTGAAATGTTCCTTTACGTACTGGCATTCAGAAGGACTGACACACAACAGTTGAGTTGTAAAAAAGTTCCCAGTGCAGTTTACGATTACATATTTCAGTCCCATGACATTTTGGAGTCCAAAAAATATGTCCTTGACACTTCGGACTCGGAAATGTGACAGTTTGGACTCCGGCAGCTGAGATTTCGAAGCCGGGAATAAGTTGAAAGTAAAGGTTGAATACAACAGTCAAATCAGATTACAATAAGTCAAAAATGATTTTACAAAAATAATGTGTAGATGAAATTTATCGTTTGTTGTCAAGTACAGCACGTAGGTCTAGACCTCTGAACGAACCGCAATATATTTACAATGTTGAATGTTTGCGAAAAGAATAGGCTATTTTATAGCCTTTCTTTGTATTTGTACGGTACTATTTTTGTATATCTGATAAAAAAAAAAGTAACCGATGAAGTTATTTGAAACATGAAAGAACATATTACCATAAAACACATGGTTATCTCTACCAAATGGCGAAACGTCGCAAGACTGAGTCCGAACCATCGTCAAGTAAGTCCAAACTATTGTTAAACTGAGTCCGAAACGTTGTTTATGCGGAGTTTGAAAGGTCACAGGACCAAAATGTTTAGCTACCCATTTTACAGGGAAAATTAGAATTTCGACAAAGAGTCATTAGAATCGTTCCTGAACGTACAGGCAGAATAAAGGAAATCTATGTACAGAGCTCAACAATTACAAATTGTGGACATAAAATTAAAAGAAATTGTAATTGTGCATTATATATGTTGTTAATTTTTAAATAGAATCAGATCAGTTAACAAAAGAGAGAGGGGGGGGGGGGGGGTCTGCATTATTGAACAAAACTGAAGTTTTGTGTTGCTGAAAGAAAAAAGTCTGTAATGTATTTATTGTCTACATTTCAATTTAATCCAGTATTTCGAGTGAATGAATGAATGCGAACACGCTGTTTTTTGTTGTTACCTGGTGGGCGGCTAATCGGTCTGACTGACAAACCACTGGGTTCATAACCGTCTCCACTGCTAAACACAGTTTTGACACAATCTGTTGCAAATTTGGGTCCATGTCTTTCAATCTTTCACGACTTGCGGTTTGCAAAATAGTCGAAATTAATATCAATATTTTTAATTTCAAACTAATTCACCTCCATCTTGACTATAATATCACGTGATCAGTAATAAAAACCAATCAAAAGCTTAGATCGAACAAACGGAAGTTGTCAAATTCACTTTGGATTAGTCTAAATGTTGAACATGGATCGGACAAGCTTCATCTTCCCACTATAAATAATTTTCTTGCTTTATGAAAATTTTCAATGTGAATTTGATTTTTTAATATATTTTCTACATAATAGTGCAATGCTTCTACATATGTAGATGTACACAAAAAACGAAAATTATTATTGAAAAAATGAAAGAAGGAAAAAAATAAACATAAATTCATTTCTGTTTGATTTTAATTTATTTCAATTGTACAAATGACTTAAACATATTCGCATCTCGAAAGCTACAGAAAAAAACAAAATTCAAATGCCTTTGTTTTGTATATGTTTTAATATGTCCAGGGCCCTGTTTCTCGAAATCTTAACTAAAGTTAAAATCCAAATTTTAGTAGATAACTTCAATTTTGATTGGCTAAGCACTAAAATCAGTCTTATATTATCCAATCAAATTACTAAAATTTGGATTTTATCTTAGTTAAAATATCGTAAAACAGGCCCCAGTATAATAAGTAATATCATGAATATAGACACTTATATAATTATACTAGATAGCAATGAGGGTAGCCTAGGCTATATATATCACATTTAATTTTAATGACAAGTGGTTACATGATATTATACAATATTGAATTTTATTTTTTTAATTTCAATCTTAATTTTGTCAAAGCTAGAATCATGTATTGCTTATTTGCATTTTTATTATTTTAAACAATTTTTCAAATTTAAACTTTGTTCCACACTAAAGCACAATAAGGACTTCTCAGGTTGTTCTGGAAAGAGTAAATATACCCTGCCATCAATATTTTGGTTTATGAAGTATAGATTTTGATCGATTATGTTATCGTGCGGCTTTTAATTCTATGTGACAATCCAACCATCAAAATGTGATTCTGTCCAACTTTAATCGATCAGGTGACATTCCAATCAGTGGGCATTAGGCTTATATGAGTAAAGTTTGTCATCCAAGAGTCAAGAATAACACATGACCAGGACATTCACTTCAATTTTTTTTTTTTTGGTACTTTAGATTAGCAAGATATTTTTTCCAAAGAATATGACAATTTTTAGCAATACCCCAATTCTGTTTCTATATTTTTACATAATAAAAAGTATAAATTTAGCTGTATTTATTTTGTTTTAAGATTTAATTTTAATTTCATGGCATATAAATTGACTGACAGGGGAGTTCTCCAGCTGGTCATTTTCACTGTCAGTCAGTCAAGACTGGTAAACATGACTGTAATAAGAGGCCAGGGTGACACAATAATTAGTAGCCAATGTACTGTTTAAATGGCAGTTAGAAATTGAACACATGGAAATAAACACAACAGTTCTATGGAAAGCAATTATTGTATTTTAATCGGAGGTATGTTTCTACAATGCTTGAAAAATGACAAGAGAATCATTATAGAGAGAGAGAGAGAGAGAGAGAGAGAGAGAGAGAAATGGGTTTTAAGTCCACTCAACACAAACTAGGTCATTTCGGGACTAACGTATGGTTCAATTTTACTTCAATAATTCGCTTGCGCATAGGGGTCTAGCAGTAGGAGGAAACCGGTGGACCTGGAGAAAACCCACGGGGTTGAACAGGCGAGCCTACTCCTTGTCGCATACAACCGGGGAATCAAACCACGCCAGTTGACTCAATGACAGACCTTATGATACAATGCGCACATGCTAACCATTTGGCTATCCAACCCCCCTATCATTATAGAAACGTAGCTCAGATTAAAGCTTTGCAAAGAACTGTTATGTGCATTTTATGCCCTGGACATGAGACAATAAACAGCAGTCAACTAAAATTAGCTGTTTTTTAAAATTACAATAAAGTCATAAATAAAGACTTTGAATAACAACAGAAATATACATGATACAGATCACACAAACATGAATAGAACAGAATTTTCTTGATTTAGGTGAAATTAAGGAGTGAATCAGGTTAGTCTCATGTGTTATAAGCGATAAAACTGAATTAAATGAAATTAATTTAAATGAAGATTAGCATATATACAGCAACCAACGTGGCAATTTTGAGCATGAGAGAGAAATGGGGTTTAACGTCCACTCGACACAAACTAGGTCATTTCAGAACTAACAAATGGATCAAATATATTTCAATAATTCGCTTGCGCGTATGGGTCTTTAGCAGTGGGAGGAAACCGGAGAACCAGGAGAAAACCCACAAGGTTGGACTGGCGACCCGATTCCTTGTCACGTACAACCGGAGAATCGAAACCACGCCAGTTAACTCAATGATAGACCTTATGATGCAATGTGCATGCGCTAACCATTCCACCATCCAACCCCTCTAATTTTGACCAAACAGTGGCGTTTTCCCCTTATTCTTCATCGTACTGTCAAGGGTTCTTTTACATGCACACTAATATGTACACTTGACCTCATTTTTTTTCATACCATCTGAACGACTAGTTCCCATTCTTTGCCCAACAATCCATTCTGCACCACTGACATGGGAAAAAATTGCTAAAAAAATCCTGAGCAACTTTCTCTGACTAATACCTGAATCGAACCCAGAACCTCTGGGTTTGTGAGCCAGTACCCTACTATTAGCGATTGGACAAACTTCATACAATTAAAGGTTTATTCAGCAGAATAAATAGGGGGGGGGGGATTAGAACATGGAGAAAATCAGAGTACCTGGGAAAAAACCAACATAGTTAAGCAGACCGCCTTACTCCTTGTCACAGACAAGTGTGGGATCGCACCCATGGCTTGCATAGATAACAGATTTTATGATCTAAAGTTTGGGCACTCATTCCCTCCACAATCAGTAAAAGTTTTAGTCATTTAAGTTGAATTATTTACATAAACAGTCGACTTTCATTTTTCAACTAAATCAAAGAATTCATGTTCTTCAACTAAACTAAGGCCATACAAAAAAGATATTCTGGTTCTCAGAGATTCCTTACCAAAAATCTGATGCAGGAAGAAGGTTTTTATTTTTGTGTTTTCTGTTTTGTCAAAGGATCACTACTGGACTAAATGACATCTTTTAAGCAAGGTACTACATTTATCGAATGTTTATAGGAATGTTTTATTATTCAGTATTAATTACAATAGTCATTAAGATTTATCAGTGTGGCATATTCGATAAATAGAGAATCACCTACAAGTCTTTTTCGACATCAAAAACTATCAACATAGGTCGATAATGTAAAAAAGAACGAGTAGAAGATTTTATTTATCACCCAAACCTTTCTTACACGCACAAATAACATGAAATGAAATAGGGTTTAACGTCCTACTCGCGCACAAATAAATATAATAAAATCAAATTCATGTAAAGCGATATCTCCTAGGAAATATCGATCAGTAGAATATGAAAGTTATCACACAAGCGATATCTACTGTAGAATGTGTTATTGGGTGATAAATGAGTCTGAGTTGATTTAAATTTTTTAATAGATTTACTTTCTGTAATCATGGTCTAATATTTACGTACATGCTGAAATTAATGAGACTTTTTATTTTTTGAAATAAAAACGGCTCACGCAGCTTTTTTTTTTAAGTGGCCTGAGATTATCTGAGAACCAAAATATTTTATTTATATGGCCTAATATAACAACAATGTATAAACAAAATACATCCTACATTGCTAGGAATGATTACTGATATGAATTACATACACATTAAACGGCCATTCAATAATAAACAAGATGACTAGTCATCAACATCCCGCGCCCTTGCACTTGTTTGGAAGAAATAAGGAAAAGTAACTTGTTTATGCTATTGGTAGTCAATATAAAAATGTATCAGATTTCGCAAACAGTGTCACTGTCCTAATATTGTGGCAATGTTTAGTAGATAATGCTCTCTATTTCTGAAAACTAATGACTGATTGCTATTTACTAGAAGATTTGAGATAATTTATGACATAAAGCTCTGGTTTTAAAAATTAGACATGACTACATAGAAATTAGAGATATTTTGCAAGTGGAGGGAACTGGAGCTTTAGACAAATCTCATATTCCGACGCATGGAATATCAATTCACAGAAATTCATACTCTGATCACAGTAGTTCGATAAGGCAGGGTCGCTACTCCCTGTAAGGTTTGCACAACAACCTTTGCCTACCTCAATCAGCTGCTGTATGTGAAACAATAAACTTATACATCAGAAAATAAAATACTATAATAGGTTAATGTTTGTACAAAGTTTCAAAAAGATTTCTTGAACACATTATAAAATGTTCTCCAGAAACAAAATCAGGACGGAAGGCTGGATTTCAGAAAAAAAAATGATGGGTAAAATTATTTTAAAGGTTTCTTGAACAGCCAAATGTGTTTCCATGGAAACACATAAAATTATCAAATCAGAGAAATTCAAAATAAGTGCCAAGAAGATATCTTGAACGATTTATGAGATATGCTCTGGAAACAAAATTGTACACCAAAAACTAAGTCAAACTTGTTTCCATGGAAACACAAAAAATATCAATCCCAGAAATTCCTAAATAGCAAAAGGCACAACTACTGTAATAGGTTGATGTGTGTACAAAGTTTCAGAAAGATATCTTGAACGGTTTATGAGATGTGCTCCGGAAACAAAATTGTACACCAAAAACTAAGTCAAATTTGTTTCCATGGAAACACACAAAATATCAATCCTAGAAATTCCTAAATAGCAAAAGGCACAACTACTGTAATTGGTAGATGTCTGTACAAAGTTTCAAAAATATATCTTGAATGGTTTATGAGATATGCTCCAGAAACAAAATTATACACCAAAAACTAAGTCAAATTTGTTTCCATGGAAACACAAAAAATATAAATCCCAGAAATTCCTAAATAGCAAAAGGCACAACTACTGTAATAGGTTGATGTGTGTGCAAAGTTTCAGGAAGATATCTTGAACGGTTTATAAGCTATGCTCCGGAAACAAAATTGTACACCAAAAACTAAGTCATTTTTGTTAAATTCCTTAATAGCAAAAGGCACAACTACTGTACTAATAGGTTGATGTGAGTGCAAAGTTTCAGAAAGATATCTTGAACAGTTTAAGAG